CCCCATGAGTAATTTTCAAGCTCGTTTATTAGGCACTTGTTTTTTCAAAAAAAATAAAATAAAATAAAATGAAACAGATGAAAACAAACTGGCTAAAAGCCGATGGTATACGTAAACATTATTTTATCTATAATGGTAGTAACGAAAAGTTAAGCGTAGCGCAGTTTAAAGCGCGCGATAAAGAGTCCGCGAAACAATTATGTAAGTACAAACGGAGGAAAAAAAAAAAAAAAAAAAAACGACAACGCGTACTCGGCAAGTTTGGCGTGTTCGATAAGTTCGTCGATCCCCCGAATCGGTGGGAAAAGACGCGTGTGTGGAATTTTTGCGTATATTTCGCTAAAAAAAACGTGGACGTCACGGTTGACGCCCGCGCGCACGTGTCAATTGGGGTCACTGGAATCCGAGAAACGTTTATCACACGTTTTGACGTTTCGTACTTTTAGTGGTTAATTACTACATTTTCGGGTTTACTTATAACGAGCAAGTATCGCATGCGTTTGTTTGCCCAACAATGTCTGGCTTCGATAAATACTTCTAAATCTGTCCGCACTCGGGCACATTTAATTAAAACACGTGCGTGAGATTTAAGGTCTACAAGTACACACGAATTCTAAGAACAACTAACGAACGGCTTGATGGAAAAAAAAAAAAAAAAAAAAAAAAGAAAAAATTTCGTCACGACGGAAAAACGTGACACCTGTTTCGGCCCCTTGAGAGAAATGAAACCTTTAGAGAGTATACACGGGTCGCTGTGCAGACGTTGGCCTTGACTGTGAAAAGCCTATTAGGCTTTCGCGCGAAAAAAAAAAAAACAAATTAGCGAGAGTGTGCGTTTCAATTAGGCGAAAGATTAGCGCCCTCGGGCTCCCCGTCGCTTTTTTATTTCGCGTCTCTCTCTCTCTTGGCTTGGCCACGCGCTCGCGTGATCGTGTCGTGTTCAACCGATGACGTCACTCCCTCCCAAGCTCATTCACAGTCAGGGTTGCAATGTATACCCACACAAACGCCTCGGAATTTTCGGCAGAGGACCAACAGTAGTTTTGATGTGATCTACTTTGTGCTAAAAACCTCGTCTTTTGTGTACGCCCTACCATAAATCATCTCAACAATAATTGCAGCAGGGAAAAATAAATTCAACGAGGAAAACTCCATTTATAGTTTTAACACGTGGGTGCAAAAAGAAATTTTTAAATTTATTCGGCACAGAGAAGTATATTATTAGATCGGCTGAGTTGTGCACAGCCGTGAGAGAGTGACTTGTTAGGCTAAACGTTCTGTAAACGCATTTAATCGCGAAATGAAATAGCGGCGTTGTAAAGCCGCGATCAGGGGACTTGACGGGTATATTAATATGCTCGACGACGGTAAACTCGAGTCTGCCATTATAGGCACTGTTGCAGCAACAGTACCGGTTACTACCGGATATCGAGCCTGCGAGGAACGTCACAGCTTCGGTCGATCTAATCTTATTTCTAGGGTCTTATTAAATGCTCCGATGAACGAGATCAAGTTCGAGATTGACCATTACATGCACACTAAAGTTTGATGTAATGTAATAAACGCCCCCCTCCCCCCCCCCTCTAACAAATCCAACTCCAATTCTATAAGTATTTAGATTCTCTGATGTCTACACCTGCTTTTGCAATATACCGATTTTTCTCGTTTGAATACGAGCTTGTATTTTATCAACTTCGATGGCGACAAAGGATCGCGTCAATATTTGACTTTTGGACATAACGTCCGGAGTATAAGTAGCCCTTGATGGATAAGTTGTTTTGAAACACGAAACTACATACATGATACACGTATAGCTGGTGCACGAAACTGTTTAACCGATAGGTACGGATCGACATCGCGGTGTTAAATAAAGTTTCGTGTTTTCAAAAATACATACCCTGGACACCGGCTTGTTCGAGCAACAACTTTAATTTTAAAATAAAGCCTCGAGACTACGGCTGAAAATATAAAATAGATCAAGTATATAATCGCGCCGCGCGTCTCAAACGGAGATCCATAATCGCTGACACGGAAATTCCGATATATAGTCTTTTTTAGTTACAGTAAACAACTGAGTAACTCGAACTACACCTACACGTTGTATAATATATACCTATGCGAGTATAACATTCGAGTTTAACAGCCACCGGATATTTTGAAAATGTATCCGAGTGTATCCGGATGATGCAAGCCATCAATGACACAGTCATATGGTGACCTGGCTATTTTTCATACATTTCCATCGCATGCGTTCAAATTGGTAAACGATGCCGGCTTTTAATTGTCCCTGTGGATACCGATCTCTCGAGCTTATTTACGATTTTTATGCCCATTTGTGCTGTAAATCGTTAGCGTAGGTATACAAATATAACGATATGTTTGCAGAAAAATATAAATTACATAAGCTCATCATCGGGACGCGAGTATATAATAGTATCGTGGATATAGGTGCACTGCACTGCGTTACGTATTGTAGGCTCGGTATATATCGTGTATACATTTTGTGGACATACCGATTTGAAATCAAGAAAATTGAACTTATTAAATTTGTTATCCCAAATCACTGTCGAAGTAAACAGAAGAAATTACGTAAAAAATGGTACATTATGCGTCCAAGAATATAAGTACAAGTAAAATAATTAGTGTTGCGTCGAAAGAGGAAATTTTTTTTTTTTTCTTTTCTTCTTTTCGTAAGTTGTTCAGCTCTTTCTTTATTATGAAGTACGAGCGATCAGTCACGCGACAAATGAATCATGCCTGATTAACATGACAATGGCCGAAAGGTGTGTTTGGACGATTGTTTTTTTTTTTTTTTCTTCATGAACTGCTCGTTAGCAGTATAATGTGTACCCAATAGACGACAATACATACGATATATACTTATGCTCGGAAAAAGACAGAGCGAGTTGCATTGTCGCTTACGACGCAATGGAGCATCTTTGTATCAATGATCTTCGCTGTGAACATCGTCTTTATTGAAACTAGAATTTAGCACGTCACTATTAATATGCGCACATTTTACACAATAGACATCGCGTGACGTGACAGTTTTACGGCGCTAAATTCTTAATTAGCCCCGAGGGAACGCACTGTACAACGTATTGTACACATTGTACACCGTGTAACGTGATATCGTGAATAATTGTTTTGTTTTACTACTTTTTTTTTATTGCGTGCCCTCTCTGCCCGTCCGTGCATATCGAATTTCACGAGCTCATCGTACAATGCCATTTTTTCGTATACTTTGAATGACAAAAATTCAACCGTAGGAAATTTACTCCTCCACCATAGTATCAACACCTTTCGTACTTAGTTGTCCACATATTATAGTATTGCGTGAACGTGCGAAAAAAAAAAAAAACCTTGCCCGCGGTCAAACTCGAACTCGAGCTATTATGGTATCTATTGCCACGTGCATGGATTTCGAAAAGCAATTATCTAGCAGTTAAAAAAAGAGAGAGAGAGAGAGAGAGAGGGAACGTTTCGAAAAAGTTTCGTCATTCGCGACACCGCGAGGCCTCTTATTGTTTTAATTAATGTAGGCACTTGTTGTCTTACTTCCCCTCGTAGATCCGATCTAAATCGCTTGTCTAAGTGTCTACTTGGCGTGACAATAACAACTTCAATGAGATCGGCTTTGAGTGTATAGGCAGCGTCTTGTTTTCCGGTTTCGAGTCAAAATAAAGCGACGAGACGGTGTATATTTATTAAGTGAATCTCGTCATCGTCATAAACAAACAGACACGCGGGTCTTTTGTTAATTCAACACCTGCGACCGAGCCTTACACTATTTTGATAGCCGCGCTTTTTTGTCGTGACGCCGCGTTAACGCGACACCGCTCGAATAAATAAATGCGTGTTTGTATTACTGTGCACGAACTTTGGGGTGAAGGAGATACGCTGATAACGCATATGTACCAACACCCGATTAAAATAGTACAGGTGGCATTACTCAACTTTGTTTCTCCGTACGACATGTATACACAACCGTATAAATAAATACTCGAGCTGCTCATCCGACTCTCCTATCTGCCCGCGATTTATGATGCAAGGTATTAAATTCGCGTGACTCGAAGCTCACGCCAAAGTAAAGTTTCATGAATATAGGGTAAGTATCCGTGGAGTGATCTATATTCGTGCGTGTACTTAACAATGGCGTGTGCACGCTCATACCTAAAATTCCGTGAAGATTTAAAGGTTGATTGGTAACTCGCACGGGGACGTATTGTAAGGGGGTCAACAAACGTCTCGGGAATTTTGCAAACTCGAGCTGATTCGGGTGCTAAGCGGATGATAAAAAAAAAAAAAAAAACTCGCGAGCTATCGAAATTATTAACCACGCCGCTTTGACGCTTTGTGCGTACCCATTTGGCCAACTGCCCGCGCTCTGTACACTCGTAGATCTACTTGGCTGTTATTACTCTTGCATTTTTTTCTCTTTTATACGCGTGATTGATGAAAAATGTTTTTAGAAAAAAAATAAACATTCGAACCGCCAACATCGTCCGGTATACATGTATTTATAGGCACGAGAGTAAAAAAAAAAAAAAAAAAAAAATTGATACGCGTGGATAAAAACAGAATGGAGGGACAGAAAAAAAAAAGTTTTGTTCGGTGACAACACGTCTAAATTTAAAGCCAAGTCAACGACACTGATTCGACGACAGGCGCTTGTGGGTATATATGTGATTCGTCCTACTGGCACAGACCGCGACTTTTAGGCACTCAAACGAAGAGATAACGAACGATAATCTCATTGTTTTAGCGATTTTTCACAACCACGGATCATCATCGTATCTGTGAAATTGCTCTGCGAGCTTATTCATTTGAAATATCCCAAAAAATAGTGATGAAAAATCAGTTGCACTACCTGGGGGCACAATCGCGTGGGAGGAGGCACGGAAAAAAAAAAAAAAAAAAAAAAAAAAGTGAAAATGGTACAATGACTGCATTATTTTAGTTGGGGAGGGAAAAAAAGAAAATCGCAAGTAGGTACGAACCTTTCCTGCGGCCGAATGGTCCGAGGAAGGTGCCATTTTTGCCGATGACGTTCTCGTCGATGTAGCGCAGCAGCTTGGCCACGTCCTCACCTCGCTTGGCCGCGACCGCCGACTTGACCGGGCGCAACGAGTGATGCTGCGGGGCAGCTGTAACTGGCTGTGCCACGCCGTTGTTTTGCTGTTGCTGGGGGCTCGTCGGCCCCGATGCTGCTCCAATTATTGGCTGTTGTTGCTGCTGGTTCAGGCTACTAGTGCAACCCGGGGGACTCGGGCCCATCGCTGCGACCGCGCTCTCCTCCGCCAGGGCGTTAATCCTGCGCTGAGAGCCGCTCCAGCTCTTGGCGCTCGAGATCTTGACACTACAGCTCATCCTCGACGCATTTCCCTTTCACTGGGGCTATTCATACGTGCAATACTCTCGCGCGCGCGTCGTCGTCGTCGCGCATAACGATTTTTGTCCCGACGCCGACGGGGCTGAGCCCCTTGTATGTGTATATATGTATACCACTAACGCGAAACTGTGTGCGTGTATTTTCGCGCGCCTGCGTACTTTCTTGGTAGCTACGAGTACCTATGCAGCTCCTCGCTACTTGTTTGGCAATAAAGTACTTGATGATTTGGCGTTACCGTTTTTTTTTTTTTTTTTTTTTTTTTGCACTTTTAATGCTCGGTTGGTACAATTAATCCACTCACTCGGCCAAAAAGTTGAAGCAAATTTTGCAGTGCCAACACTGGTATTCAGCAATATACGTAATGCGCCAGTATATATGTATGTACTTGTACGGACGGGCTCCGCGGCGAGTAAGCTGTGCTTGCGCGCGAAAGGCTCGAGCTGCACTGAGTGTCGTGGGAGAGATCCGCGAGCGAGCGTCAGGGCGAGACTGAGTGTCTGCGGGCAGTCTCTATACCATCGGCGTATCGGCACTATCGCGCCACCACACCGCTCCGCATTGGCCGCCTTTTTTCTTCCTTTCTTCGCTCGTGCCACATACTTATAGTCGCGCCATGCTGCCATCGTACCCACATTATTATATATTATATAGCTATACATTGTGCGCTCGTAACTATAATATACGCTTGCGTCTTTATACTTACTGCCTTGCTGCCCGACTTTTCACCCTCCCCCGCCCGTTGCGTACGCACTGCACCCCCGCATACCCGAGCTTTACTCTTTTGTTTCATCGCAGTGAGAATACCTACCCCTACACGAATCACAACCCTCCTACTACCATAATACAACCCCGACAGCAAGTCCTATATACGTGCAGGGTAGTTTGCTACTGACGTCAGCAACTATCTCTAGCCGTTGTTCCGAGTTTTCGGATAAGGGATACAAGAGACTATAGTAGAGGGTGGAAAGTACTCCATCTAACGACGTCCCTCGTTTAATTTTTTTCATGAATTTAATCAAACATCGAAATTTATCATTTTTTTTTTCCCAGTATGAATTTTTACACGATCAAGGAGTATCTTTGATTAGTCATCTCTATTTGCTATGTCGTTTTCAATACTAATAGCTGAGGTGTGCAGATTGTACGTTGTTTCAAGAACTTCAAAACCCTACGAGGGTGATCCGAATCACAATCTAAGGGTGAATCAACATTTATATTAATATTTTCTTGAAAAATGATGGTTGATCACAGACCTGTATACAATATAATCGCATGAGGGAGAAAGTTTTTACGTATAAATCGGTATGGTTATAGTTTTACCCTTGTCAGACGAAATGAAATAACGAAAAAATCGGTAGGATCAGAAACACAAAAATATGATGAAGTAACGTAGAAACGAAGAGTATATGTATATGGATAAGTACACCAATCCCGATTGTAAAACACACAAAGGAGCCATCGTACACCCGCAGGATCCCATGGCAACGCTGCGGGTACGCCTATCCTTCTGCTTGACAGCAGTTCGATACTCAAACCCGTGAGTGTAAGGGTTCGCTGCCCCTTTGGTGTTTTTGGTGGGCGTCAAACCAGTCCCAAGATGCTGGATTTGCAAAAATGCGCGGCCCAGGACCGGGTCGCGGCGGCGATCGAGCACAAGCGCCAGATCGAGGAGGCCAGGAGGACCCGCATCTTCAACCCTCGCGTTCGCACCATCGGGGTAAGACATCATTACACGCTCTCCACTGTATATCTACACACAATTGGTATACACGTCGCTCGCTCTCTCGCCCCTATAATGTATTGTACGATCGATGCGATCACCGATCTTTGCCGATCCTCGAGAGGTTACTATTCCCACCAAAGCCGTATACGCGAAATTTTTCACCCTCATTTTTCTCGTACAGCGTAGAGAGTATATACTTTGTGCTAAGTGAAATGTTATAGTAAGCTCTCACTGACGCGCGCGTGCACAGGTGGACAAGGAGTTCCTGGACCGACAAGTGGAGGAGAAGAAACGCCTGCGGGACCTGGAGCGCGAGCACGAGAGCCGCATGGACGAGGCCTTGGTGCGCAGCAGCAAACTCGCCAGTTTACTTCAACGCCAGCAGGATCAAGTACCCACATAATACAAGCTTACACCTACCCGCAATGTTGGAAAATTGTACACCCACACGGGTCCTCGCTTCTTCCCCAGGAGAGGAGGCGACTGAACCAAGAGATCAACGCGTTCCGCCAGACGCACCAGAAGCCCGAGTCCCGCCGAGACTTTGACCTCGACGACCCGGCCCTGCTCAAAAAGTCCAAGCCCCTCGCGGAGGCTTACCACGAGCTGGGGCCCTCCTCGGCGCAAAAGTTCGAGGGCGAGGACGAGAACCAGGCGGTCCGGCGCCGCGAGCAGCGCGAGCAGATGCAGGCCTGGATTGCCCAGCAGGTGCAGGAGCGCCGGCTGGCCGAGCAGGAGCGCGCCGAGCTCGAGCGCAGGTACCAGGAGGCGGTGCTCGGCAGGGACGGCCGCGCCCTGGAGCTCGACCGGATGGAACGGGCGTGCCGGCGCAGGCTCAACGAGGCCACCGCCAACTTCAACCGAGCCCTCGTTCGTTCATTTATCTCTTACGACTTTTCCACGCCTATATGTTCGGTGGAGCATAAGTTATATTATATTACTCTTGTCCTTTCGCCGCTACAATTGTTAATGGCACACAGGCGGCGGAGCAGGAGCAGCGCAAGTGTTGGCTGGCGGCCCAGGAGGCCGAGGACAGCAGGGCGGAGATATACAACCACGTGACGGGGGATTTCCTGAACGAGTCGAGGGACCAGGCGAACAGCGTCTGCGGACCTCAGCGGCCACTGGTCGCCCACTACAAGGGCATGAGCTCGCGGGAGCTGGAGGTCATTCGCGACGAGCAAGCCAGGCAAATGGGGGAAATACAGGTACTTTTTTTTTTTTTTTTTTCATCAATTCAGTATAATAAATGCAATGATCCGCGAGCTTACGAGATTGTGTGTGTGTATATACCTATACCTTATTTCCTGCTCACCTCCAGCGCCACGGCAAATGCCATAACTTTTCGTTATATATACTAGGTACTTTTATTTTATCGAAACCTTGTGTATGGGAACATTTCGCGTCACTTTTGGAAAAAAAAGAAAAAAAAAATTGATGCTATCGTTGAAAAATTTCAGCGCATGAAGAAGGACGAGACCGTGAAAAATGCGGAGTGGAATCAGTTGATAAACGGAAACGCCAGAGTGGCAGAGTCTTATCAGCGCGAACTGGATCGAAGGAGATCGTAATGTCGTCAATAATAACAACAACAACAACAATGTTTTGTAAAACTCGCAATATGTACCTACGTAATCTTTTTCCTTTTCTTGTTGTCGGCAGTGAGTTGAACAGGCAGATTGCCGAGGAGAACCGGCGACTGGCGCAGCAGCAGAAATCGCATCAAGACTATTTGAATCGTCACGTATACAAGCACAATCCGAGCCCGGAGTTTTACGAGCAGTTTAATAGGAGCACGCGATGAGTGGATGTATTGTATTGTATACACAATTTTGAGGAAAAATTCAAGAGTGACCGAAAGAATATTCGTTGCTTGCGTCTCAATGTTTTTTTTTTTTTTTTTTTTTCTCACAACTTTTGCCTTTCCATGAGTGATTCCTTAATTAAAGTGCAAAAATAAAGCCATTCAACTTATTTGTGTTGATTTATTTCCTCGAATCACACTTCATTATGTTTACTTTAATTGTAATTGATATTAAAATACGCAAATTGTGACCACAACTTTCGAATTTTATTGAATTAGTGAGAGACATCTGTCGTTTAACGTGAAAACTACCTACGGAGCAGAAAGCAAACATCACAGCGTAGTTTTCAAAACAATGGCTATATATATAGCCGAACGTCAACATTGTCAACACTGTCAATATAGAATCGAAAATTCACTGAAAAAATTTATTAAGTAATTACGCACAGTATAATTTTTTTGTATTTTTTTTACGATTATTTTCACGTAAATGTCAACAAAATGCTACAAACAATGCCTGATATGGAGGGAAACATGCTCCGATACAAGTAAGCTTGAGGTTAAATTTTTGTTTGTTGTTTGTACACGGGTAAATGCGCTTAGTAAAGAGTTTTTTCTAGATTCTTTGATCACGATTCTGTTTTACGCGAGTACGAGACCATCGTGAGGAGCTTGAGAGAGGAACTGAATGTTTGTAAGGTAAGAGATTTTAATTGAAAACTTTAAAAGTGTCAAGTACATTTATCTTATTGCCTCACCAGACGGAGCAAAATAAACTACGCTTGGAAATGGAAAATCTTCAAAAAGAGAATCAAAGCACAAACGACAATATTCGTCACTTATTGACAGACAATAATCATGAAAACTGTGACAATGTCGCGTTAAATAAAGAAGCAGTTACGAATCTCGAAAAACGCGTCACGATTTTGCAAATGGAAAAAGAATCGGTATTCCAGCTGTGGCAGATGGCCTTGAAAGCTATTGACGTTTTAGAGGAAGAGACCAAAACATTCAGGAGGGAAGATAAAAACGTGCACATCCACCAGGAGCAAATTAATAACATCAAAGAAACGTACTCTGACGCGATAAAGGTACTGGAGTCGAAACTAATCGAGGCCAAAGAGAATTTTTTTCAGCAACAAGTGCTTTGGGAAAAGAGTCAAGATAAAATCGATCAGATGACCAAAGAAAGGGACGATCTGCTTCAACAACTCAATAATTTCAAACAGCAGATTTCTGAAAAAGAGAAACAACACGACGCTGTTGTGGAATCGCTAAAGGTAAATTTGAGTTGCACCAAAAGCGAGCTTGAACAGATAAAAGTGTTGAAAATAGATTTAGAACACAAGTTAAAGGACGCGCAGAAATTTGCCAATACCATGCTTTCTAAAGATATTGAAGCTAAAAGTAAGGTGTCGGAGGCTGTCGATTTGGTGGAATCAGCTGTCAAAGAGAGAAAAGAGATTTTACAGAGGGAAGCCAAAGTTCTTGAGGAAAAGGTGAAACTGGAAACGTACTTGGCCAAGCTGTCAGAAGAATATGCTGGTCGTTTCGAAAGAGAATCGTTAAAGACCAAAGAAACTTACAACAAAAATTTAAAAAAGTACTTGTTAGAGATCAAGGAACTGAAAGCTGAGTTGAAGGATAGAGCGATACTGTTGGACAGGTCCCAAAGAGAGCAGAGACTTTTGGAGGAGGAATTGGAAAGAATCAGACAGGGTTCGGATAATTTTTTCCAAAAGACACACGCAAAAGTAACAAATCTTCAACAAAAGATGTGTGAAAAAGAGTACAAGTCACAGCCAAACAAAGAGGGTTTTAAATTAATATACGACGACAAGATTCAATTTTTGGAAAGTCAGATCAATCATCTGCAAGAAAAGTTGTCGAATACTAGTGACAAATTGAGACGAGTGAATATGCAGAGCTGCAGAGATGTGGAAGATCATGTGCGAGAGGCAGACGACCGCACACGGGAGATCATGGACAAATGCTCGAACTTTGAGAGACAGTTGTCTCGGGCCCTCATCGATAAAGACAATTTAGCGTCTAGTTTGCATGCCTTGGAGGTGACTTTTGCTAAAGAATTGCAAAAGAGAAATCAAGAAAAATTACTGCTCGAAAACAAGATTCGAAATTTGCAGGATAGAATCGTTAATCCTGATACTATTTTTCACGAGTCAAGGATATTTTCCGATGGTACATCAAATAGAAAAAATACCGATCAGCAGACGTAAGTATAAAAGGATCAAACTATTGAGTATGTAAGAAAACTTAAAATTTTTATAGACTGCGTTATTTTTTTCAGTTTGATGAATTTTGATTCTATGGGAAATACGTTGGCTATTCAGGAAAAATATGAAAGAAAAACAAAAGAACTTACTCAACTTGTTGAAACCCATCAAAAATTGAGTAACAAGTAAGAAGAACAATATTTAAAATAAAATTGTTATGCAAGTCTACGTGTTTTATTAAGTAATTTTTTTAAACAATTTTCAGATGGAAAGAAGAGGCTAATTTACTGACATCAAAATTTCAAAAACGCACTCAAGAATTCAGAAATAAAGTAAATACTTTACAAAAACAAAATGATGACTTAACCAGAGAATTACTTTTCTATCAACAACTGCTTGCTCGGTGTAATACGCAATTCATTCAAAATCATAAAATAGATTCTGAAGACAGGTGACAAATGCTTAAAGTTTAAAGTTGAAATGTATCAAAAGAGACTCAATTTATTTAAAAAATACATATTTATTGTACACCAAAGAGTATCTTAGTGATAATATGCAGTTATATAAGATTTATTAAATAAANTTAAGAGTAAATTAATTTAGTAACACAAAAAATTACATCATTTTTTACCTGACATATAAAAAAATATCTAAAGGTACTTGATATATAAAAGAACATCTCAAGGTATGTGGAAATATGTTTTTTAATTCTACAGTTTAAAACATTATTTTTCAATTAAAAAAAATATCTAAAGGTACTTGATATATAAAAGAACATCTCAAGGTATGTGGAAATATGTTTTTTAATTCTACAGTTTTATACATTATTTTTCAATTAAAAACTCAAAAACTAAAGTGATTTACCAAATGTGAGTTGTACATCTTCAAGTTTTTGAAGCGACACATGCAGTAAACAAACTCGGAAACCAATATAATGGTTCATCTTCAGGCTGCTGATCGATCCAAGCTAGTCCTTCCTTTACCATGTGATCCAATGCTTTTTGAGCCCTCTCACTTTCCCACTTTAATTCTTTTTGTAGTAAAGATTTGGAAATGTAAGCATTTCCTGCATTGCTTGTCTGTTGTAAGACTGCCGTATGGTCCATGCTTAATTCTCCTGGAATCGACTGAACCAGATATTTGCCCTTACTGATGGGTACAACGGAAAATCCATTGCCCAAAATTTTCAACTTTTTTGCAGACGCCAGTAAGTCTTCGTTCGTTATTTCTTGATGTTCTTTGCGTCTTCCCCTAGCGTGAACTAGTCTGTCTCTCAGTTCATCCAACGAAATCAAGCCACCGTTTTTGTAATTTGTTGCTAGACACACTTCCACAATTTGAACCGCGATTTCGTAATAAAAGTCTCCAATGCCAAGAACTGACCAAAAACCTTTCCCTGATGCCAAAGGATCAACTCCGATTAATGCACACATTTCTGTAAACTGTCTCCTGAACTGTGCATTCTTCTTAATTTCATTTTTGTGTTTCGAGGCAAACTCTTCTAGATTTACTCGAAACGTTTCCATTTGTTTGGTCATCTGTTCAAATTGATTTTCTTGCAGTTCTGTGCCCTTATCTTTGTACCGCTCTTGTTCAAACTTTTGTTTGTGGATTGCTCCTACTCCTGGTTTTCTCCTCATGTTTGATGCTGGTAACTATAATTTACTGCAACAAAATTTTAAGTCAGTAGATACAGTGCAAGTTTAAAAGGATCATGATATCTAGTTGTATGAAAACAAACTGTGTTCTAAACGATCAGAAAATTAATGATAAAATTAGAAAGCTTAAAAAAAAAAAATTTGTAAGTTAAACACAAAATATTAACTAACCTTTTTGGGGGGAGATCCGTCCCTCAAAGGGTCTCAATAAGAAATCGTACAGCAAAAATTGGTGAACAGTAAAAACAACTGAATACTAACAACTACCAAGAGAATTTGCTGTGTAAACACATTTGCTTATATTATTTATGACAGTTTTCGTTTTTTGAACGTGATAAGTTATCCGATGATCAGATCAGCTGATCAACAAACAAATAGCAAGTAAGTAGGCACAAAGAAAAACAAGTTTACGTATACGCGTGATCTAATATTTATGCAAATAAAACAAAGCCGCCGTGTGATTGTGTAGTCGACTCCGATTTTATAACGTGTCACGTCAAAATTTTACTGTCGCTCGTATATGTTTGATATACCTATATACAGTAAAAGCTCAAATAAGCTTTCTGCTATTCAGAATCGCATACTTAATATACTTTCACACGAGTGTATTATTTCAATCACTTTGATAATTCGCAACAGTTCGCAAGTATAATATTTTACTAAAACAAAACTAGTGTTTAGTAAAATATGTATGAAATTACTTATACCTTTTAACTTATTACTTGATTAGAATAAAATTACTTACACAAAATAATAGTAGGATTTTCGCTCAATTAAGCGTCTGACAGATATAAAAAGGACCGCATAAAGTATGCTCGAGGGTGTAAAGCACGTGTTTTTGATATTATCCGGCAAGGGTGGTGTTGGCAAATCTACCGTCAGCTCACAACTAGCCCTTGCTCTCAAGGAATCTGGTTTCAAAGTGAGTTGCTTTTTCATAAACTTCAATGTACAAGTTGCAAAGCGAAGGTTATGTTTTGGCTAAATTATCCGGTTGGTTTTAAATAGTTTTCCAATATGAAATGTTTTTTTTTTTGCCTCAGGTGGGTCTGTTGGATATTGACTTGTGTGGGCCTAGCATTCCATATTTACTGAACTTGGAAGACAAAGATGTTCATCAGTCTTGTGATGGGTAAGTATGCAAATTTTTTTTTCTTTGCAAGAAAAAAAATAAGCTACTTATATTGTTTAATGTAGGTGGGTGCCAGTTTTCACCGACAAAGATCAAAAGTTAGCTGTCATGTCCATAGGATTTTTATTGAAAAATAGAGGTGACAGTGTAGTGTGGAGAGGCCCTAAAAAGACCAGCATGATCAAACAATTTTTGGAGGATGTTGCATGGCAGGACATTGATTATCTTATCATTGACACTCCACCTGGTACTTCTGATGAACATATAACAGCTATGGAAAACTTAAGGTGAGACTTGTAATTTTGTTTTCGAAAAAAAAATTTTTATGATTAAAACTGATGTACTGAATACTTTGAGGAAAAAATCATACAATATTTTAGTATGGAAAAAAAAAAATGCATAATCATTTAAAAAGAAAAAAAAAAAAAAACATAAATGAATTTGTGTAAAGTTTCCATAAACAGTTGGGAAGAAATTTCTCGATTCAAAGTGTATATACAGTTGTTTGTGTAATAAGGAAAACAAGCACATGTGACTTGGCTAATATCTGTAACATGTGATTATGAGTAATAGTCACATGAATGAAAAAAATCATTGACATAGATAAGAGGTTGAGGTCAAGCATTTCATCAATTATTCGATATTCAAATTGAAAGAATAATTAAAAAACTAAATTATTTACCGCAACACTGAAAATAAAAAAAGAATCAATATAAATGAAAATAAAATTTTTTAGTGCCCATAAAAGAGAAATAAAAGAAAAATTTTTTTTTAGAAATATAAAATGTGACGGAGCAATCATTATTACGACCCCACAAGCTGTAGCAGTGGATGATGTGATGCGTGAAATCACGTTTTGTAAAAAAACTGGCATTCCGGTCGTTGGTATTGTTGAAAATATGAGTGGCTTTGTCTGTCCAACATGTTCTGTAAGTTAATATAGAATCACAAAATTCTCAAAGTTTAACTTTTTATCAAAAAAATTATATCAATGATTACGATTTGTTTAGGAGTGTACCAATATATTTTCATCCAATGGTGGAGTTTCTCTCTCAGAAATGGTTAAAATACCTTTTCTCACTAAAATTCCAATTGATCCAACTATTGGTAGATTAGCAGATAGAGGTCAAAGTGTTTTAAAAATATATCCAGATAGCAAAATAGCACAAGTTTTTCGTAAGTTAGTGGAAGAGATAACAAAAAGTAAAGAAGCTTAGTTAAGTTTACTTCAAAATTTTATTTAAAAAATTGCGTTTTGTATAGAAAAATATAAAATGGAATATATTTTAATATTTGTATAAAGCATATAACGAAAAGAATTATATGGGTCTACTGTGTGTAAGATTTTTATAAAAAATATATTTTTGTAACATTATTTTACCTTTTAAAAAGCAAATTTCATTTTTTTTCAAACAAAAAAAATGCAACTTTCTATAATTTCCTATCTTATCCATACTACAGAAATAAAAAATATTTCCCATCATAAGAAATCTTGAACAGTTAACAATCCTCGATTCTGCTTTCATAAGCTTCCCAAAGAATTTTTTTGTACTCTAAAATCGAAGCCAGTTTGTCCGTAGATTGTGTTATGCCTCTACCTACAACGATTATATCTCCTCCAGAATGAATAACATCTTGGGGAGTATTATACTGCTGCCCTAAACTGTCAGATGACTTGGTTAACTTAACGCCAGGTGTAAGCTGAATGAGTCCAGGATCTGTAAATATATTTTTTTGGCAAACAAATCCTGCAACTAAATCCGAGTTTTTGGACATTGCGACCGCTGATTTAACATAGTCGCCTGTGGTCAGTGCTCCTTCTGAAGACATTTCTGCCACTAAAAATATGCCTCTGTCCTCTGCTATTTCATTAAGACCTTCTTTGATTCCCTGAAGTATTCCACTGCCGGGAACTGGATGCGCAGTTATCAAATCAGCCCATTCAGCAATCTTGTAAACTCCTTTTTTGTACTGATAAGAAACAACTTGTCCAATGTCAGCGAATTTTCTGTCTTCCATAATCAAGAAGTTATACTTTTTAGAAATGCTCTTTATTTTCTGTACAAAGCTTTTGTCAAAATCTTCTATTATATCAACATGTATTTTCAAAACTGCTATGTGAGGCCCAGCTAAATCAGCAAGGTCAATTATTTCCTGGCATACTGTAAAGTCGGCTGCTAAGCAAAGTGTCGTTTGCTTCTCTGACATCAATTTGAATAGCTTACTCGTCACCGAATTTTTTGCAACGTTGGCTCTTGCCATGAAAGTTTGTTTCAAGCGGATATTATCATCTTGTACTTTCAATGGAGCTTTAACTGCGTTGATGTAATCTTTGATTTCTTTAAAAGACTCCTCTGATAATTTACTAGATTCAAACAAATATCCAAGAAGCTGTGTAATGGTAAACAGTGTTTTTACAGTGATTCCCGCTTTTTCTAAATTATCTCTACCGCCTTGTTCTCGATCAACAATAACAAGAGCAGTGGTGACGTTAAGACCTTCGTTTTGCAAATCCTTCACAGTTTCAATAATGCTAGAACCACTTGTTATAATATCTTCTATTATGATTGGTGTATCTCCTGTTTTGAAAATACCTTCTATCATTTTTTTCGTTCCGTAAGACTTTGCTTCTTTTCTTCTTATGATCATTGGCACATTTGATTCCGTAGAAATTACCGTGGCTATCGGCAAAGCAGTATATGGGACACCACAAACATGTGAAAAATCTTTATTGTCCACGAGACTCCACAGAGATTTTGATAATCGAAGCTAAAAAAAAATGATTAAAAAAAAGTGTATTACTATAATTATCTTTTAGTACATAAAATTGTTCAAACATTTTTTTTTAGTCTTTCCATTCGTAAAATGCATGATAGTGTTAACGTACCAGCAGTTGTGGGTAAGAGATGATTACTCTCAGATCAATATAAATTGGAGTTTCAAGTCCAACTTTCGTTATAAAACTACCGGTTCTAATGGCACCAACGTTGTAAAGTTCAATAGCTAATTCTTTCAATTCTACCTTCATGATGATATAATTAATGAACAATCACAATTTTTTAATATTTACAATAGATTTAAATTATGGTTCTTATTGTATTTATGGCTTGCAACGAGCGTAAAAACGTGCGAAGCAGAAGTTACCGTGTGATCTCAAGGAGACCTTTTACTAAATGAAACATGTGCTCACTCGTTGCTGCCAACTGCACAAATCTATTCACGCATTCACTTCTAAAAACCGACACGTCATAAAACTTTGAATGACTGTTATATGACAAATGACGTGACTTCACAAAAATATTAAGTATTTCAAATTTTAGGACAATTGTAAAATGGGTATGTTAGTGATGATAGAACGACCAAAATAATGATTTTCGTAATACAAATTTATTTTATCAGAAATTAATATTAAAACTTTATTTATTTCCCCAGCCCCAAAATCCTTTGACTAAACCAGCCAGTCCACCCTTTTCACCCTTCTTATCTTGATCTTGTAGCTTATCCGATAAATCCGGAAATTCGATCATATTGAACGCTAAATCGAAAAACAATGGTTTACATGGAATACTTTGCATTGGAGGTGGAATCTTACAAATGTTCGGTTGTTTGGTGAGCAATGCTGGATCCTCCAAGTATTCATGTAATCGTTCTGAAAGCATTTTCTTGCTTTTGACTTGTTTGTTAACGCCTATATCTTCCTCTTGACCCTCCTCCAAAACACTGTGAGCATGAGCTGCACACTGAGCACCTTCAATCAAAGATTCCAATTTAATTAAATCGTTTTTCAAGCTATCTGGCAGAAGAGACTTGTGTTCCATGGCATCTTTGACATGCTGCAAGGATCTGTGATACAAGGCCATTGCGTCACGCCACCTGTGAAGATTTGCCAAAGATTTGGCCAAGTAGAAGCAGCGGAACGCCCTGTAACTCTTGGTCTTAGCATCGTGTTCTTGCAAATAGCTTTCATCATCCTGTAACTGTGACATTTCTACTAGATTGTGAAGTGCAGCTTCATATAGTCTCACGATGTCTTGAGATTTGGCTTTCTCGGACTCTTCGGCTATTTTAACTAAAATTAGATTCCTTTCCAGAGTACGGGAGAGCCTGATATACTGCAAGTAAGATATTAAATGCTGAGGAGCTTTGTCAGCATCTTTGTTTTTCAAATCGTTCTTGAGCTCTTCGCGAACTGCAGCGATCGCGTCCTTGCAATCGATCAAGTGTGCTTCAAGAATATCAATCTTGGCTTGATTTCCACTAGCTTTTTCCAACGTACTCGTCAATCTAGAATCCGCCATGAGAAGCGCTGCAGCTTTGGGTGGAGCTATTCCGCATGATTTTCCGCGCCACTTAATTTCTTCGGTGCTAGCTTGATTTTCTTGCCTCTGTGTTATGAGGGAGTCCAAATTACTCAACAAATCTCCGCTCAATTTTCCTCTCATCTGCATAAGATCATCTATGGCGGTAGTATCGCCAATATTGTATGCACAGTATCTTAAGTTAGGCGCCAATTCATCGACACGCGCCTTGTAAATAATTTGTTCGTGCTCTGGTAGTGCTTTGGCAAGATTTTCGTAAACAACTTGTGCATTCTGGAAATTCTCCATTGCTAGCACCCAGTCTTGCAATTCAAATAATATGGATCCCTTAATGTATGCAACATAAGCTTTAGCTTCCAGTTTGGTCCTTGCATTACAATTGATACTCTGAAAAATAATAAATATAAAAATATTCGTCGTTTTAACTGTCAAAAGATAATCAATAATATTGATATAAGCAACAAAAGCAAAAGTTATTATGAAGACTTACATCTATGAGGTTCTGCAGTTGTTCCGCAAAAGCACCTGCTTTTCTCAATCTGGAGACCAAGTGAAATTTTTTCCTTGGCTCGGTGTTGGACTCTTGGCGCAGCTGCATGGCATAACTCCACGCCCTCTCAGCCAAGGTTAGCGGGATCTGCAAGAACTTGTCGTCGGTAACCATCAAGGCTGTCACGTCCCGGCGTCTGTAGTGGCGTTTGTCACCTTGGGGAACCTTGAGGACCTTGCGTAGACGTCGTAAGCGTCGGGAACAGTATCCTCGGTACCTCTGATAATCCCCATGCCTCAGTCCGTGCTGCTGCTGGGCTTCCTTGATAATTTTTAGGACTAAAATCACAGCGAGTGACGAATGAAAAAGAAGAATCTTTTTTTGAAACTTTGATCCTCAATGGCCCATTGGGCAAAGCAAAACAAAGCGAAACATATGGAAAGATCATCGATTCAGCAATTTAAGGTTAAAGACTGACGAGAGGGGCTTGACTCACTTTCAAGGGAAAATACTTTCTGCCCAGGTTCAGAATTGGGCTCCTCCTGCTCCACGTCGCTACCTTCCTTAGGAGCCATGGTGCTAAGGCAGAGAACTTGGAAACAAGATAACTTTAATATGCAAACATAATCCGGCACACTTCACTTTTGCTTGATTAACCTACAGTTCTGTGTTGTTTGCTGCGCTGTCAACTTTGCTGATAGGTATACATATATATAGTTCTTTGCGTCGTCTGCGCGTTTCTCCGTTCTCCGTCACTAATGGTCACGTATACGTAACATCAGTTGCAAAATTTTGTTTTGAATTTGCCAACCCTCAGCTTTTCACTTAGAGTTTGGAGTGGTGTTATTATGTTATACTTACCATTACGTTATTTCTGTCATACCATTCCAACATTCCGTTTCTGTTTTATTGGGTCATCTGGGGTTATACCGTTCCAACGTTCCTGTGTTATGGGGTTACTGGGTTTTGCCATTCCAACGGTCCTATTTTACTGGGTTATACCGTTCCAACGTTTCTGTTTTATACCATTCCAACGTTCCTGTGGTATCCTATTCCGTTGTTTACGTATTTCGCAATCGCTACCAGCCAACGCGTTACATATATGCGTAAGATAATAAGATGTAACGTTGCGAGGTTGGGGGCGCTACTGTCGATTTACTCGTGATATCGGCTGTATTCCGCAAATGCTGCCTAGCACCCCCATTTACGCAACGTTGTCACGTTGTACATAAGTAACAATAGGTTCATTCAAGCCTCCCCTGGGTTTGAATAGTTCGGCTCGGTTTGGTCGGTTCTGGGACCAAAAAACATGAAAAACACGCTTTCACGTGAGTTGGTTCCAGAACCAAAAATCCGAGGTGGTCGGTTCTAGAACCAATCTCTAGTGAAGGGTGAAGGCGTGTTTTTTAAAATCTTTCTTGGTCGCAGAACCGACCGAACCGAACCGAACCCAGGGGGGCTCGAACACTTGAACGAACCTAATGTAACTGCACATGGATGATGGCTAGCGGCGATCGGCGATTGCGGAATAGCCCAACGGAACGTGCGCAGCAGCAGACGACGTCACGACGAGTGCGATTGAGTGTATTTGCATGATTAAAAAAATTAAAAAAAAGCATTTGCTGATTTTTGATTGCTGATAAGTATAGGTACTTGTATTTGTTGGTTGAGAGAGTGGAAGGAGAATCATATCACTTTGTGCGACCCCAATATCAATTTTTATTGTCGCTTTCAGTGCCGGCGAGTGAATCCGGTTTTATCGCTCTGCTCTGCAGATTCTGTTAGGTATTGGAGCTGATGCACTTCTTGTTTATCTAACAAGCGTAAATTGAACGTGCGAGAAGGCATATATCTTAGGCAATAGGATCTTCATTAATTTTTGTTCTTACGTCAACGAATATTGAAATCAGTTGAGAGACTCAAAAGGAGAGAAAGAGACAAATTTATAAAAGAGAGGTTACAAGATGTCTAGTTTTTTCGTTCGTAAAACTTTGACTTTGCTGGGGGGTCTCAATTTAAAGAGTATCTCGCAGTTTAGTGTGGTTCCTGTCAGAAGGTTGAATTTGCTTGAGTACCAAAGCAAAGAATTGCTGCGCGACTCTGGAGTTTCAGTGCAAAACTTTGCTATTGTTGATGATATTAAAAAAACTGCTCCTGCCTTAAAAACTTTGAGTACGTGGTTTATTCGCTATTTCACCTCATTTTAAAAGAGGACATAAAAGGTAATTAATGCGATTACATAATTTTAGATGCTGACGAGTACGTTGTCAAAGCACAAGTCTTGGCTGGTGGTAGAGGAAAAGGTTGGTTCGACAATGGTTTTAAAGGAGGTGTCCAAATTACCAGAGAGTAAGTATGTAACTTCATTATTCACTTCAAAATCTAATTTCATTATTGTGTACAGCACAAAAGCAGTTACCGAATATGTTGAAAAAATGTTGGGACATCACTTGATTACCAAGCAAACCTCAAAAGATGGTATTTTGGTACAAAAGATAATGATTGCAGAATCTGTAGATATCATTCGTGAAACGTATGTTTGTATACTCATGGATAGGACATACAATGGTCCAGTTTTGATAGCATCACCAGATGGTGGTATAGACATTGAAGCTGTTGCAGAAAAAACTCCAGAGAAAATTAAGACTATTCCTTTGGATATACATTACGGAATTGATAACGAAATTGCAACTGAAGTTGCTGAATTTTTAGGATTCTACGACGAAAAGCTCAAAGAAAACGCAGTCTATCAATTGAAAAGTCTGTGGAAATTATTTGTAGACATTGATGCTCTACAAGTTGAAATCAATCCTTTTGTTGAAACTAAAGACGGTAAAGTTATTGCAGTGGATGCTAAAATATCATTTGATGATAATGCAGAGTTTAGACAGAAAGACATATTTGCTCTTGAAGATACAAATGAAAAAGATCCACGGGAAGTAGATGCTTCAAAGTTTAATTTGAATTACATAGGAATGGATGGAAACATTGGATGCTTAGGTATTTAATCATTTCAGTAGAGAGTGATTTCCGTTATTGTTGATACAATTTTTCAAGTGAATCAATTTGATTATTTTTATTCTTATTACATGTAAAAACAACTTGTCGAACGAATATTATTTTCATTAATGAAATTTTAATATCAAAGTGAATGGAGCTGGTCTTGCAATGGCAACAATGGATATAATAAAGCTCAACGGAGGAACACCTGCCAACTTTTTGGATGTTGGTGGTAGTGTGAAAGAGGATCAAGTTTATCAAGCTTTTAGAATTTTGACGGAAGGTATGATTTTTTTTTTTCCAGAATTATCAGCAATTTGCTTTAAAATTTGAAATAAATCATTAATGATTTCGCAACGACAGATCCAAATGTTAAGTCGATCCTCGTGAATGTTTTCGGTGGTATTGTTAACTGCGCAACAATTGCTAACGGCATCGTTGCAGCCGCTCGCCAATTGGGTTTGAAAATCCCACTTGTGGTAAGATTGGAAGGTATGTATGGAAAAGAAAAATTATTTTGATCTATCAAGTAGAAAATTTATATGTATAATGTACATGTATTTCAGGTACAAACGTAGCCGAAGCAAAGAAAATCATATCTGAATCTGATCTTCCGATTTTAACTGCCAACGACCTCGACGAAGCAGCTAAAAAAGCTGTAGCTTCCGTTAAAAAGTGAATATAATGAAACTTTTCGTACCGAATATGACAAATTTTTCCGTAATACGCATCGACAAACAAATTTTACAGATCAGAAAGCGAAGAAGAGCACCAGGGCATGAAACTTAAAATGTCGCAATAGCTCGAATCGTTCCTTACTTGACAAAAGACTGGCATCTCATTCCTGCGTTCATATCCACCAAACATCATAGAACGAAAAAAAAAAAAAAAAAAAATAGCGTTATCAGTGCCAACATTCATTTTCTAACGAATTTCAAAGACTCGACACTGACTGAATGCGCTGAAATTCATTGTTACTAGTTTCATAAGATAAGACTTAGTGTTTGTTTTAATTTTAATTTTTTTTTTTTCAAATAAACGTTTTGTTATAAACATTTTGAAATTTCAGATCTCTGTTATTTTTTTAGCGCTAAAAAACAAATTGCCTTTCAGTTGATATTCATCGGCACGACAAGCAACCAGATCTCGTTAAAAATATAAAAAATGGCAGAAACGGATATTCTCATGAATAAAAAAAAAAAAAATGAAAATAAAATCCGTAAAAGCAGCGCCAAGTTGGCAAAGTGAGCGAATTGAAGTGTGTAATTTCGCCGTACACACGTACGCGAGCCGCGGGAGCAGAGAGAGTCATTGCAGCCGCAGGAGGGGACGGACGCTGGCTGTCGCTCAGATATGGATAAGCAAGAGGCCAAAGTATGGTCAGCTCCTTGGCCGCTTATGGTATTCTCTTGGTGCCGGCCGATTACGCGCGTTGGCGCACTCAACAAAGAGAAGGACGTGGGGGGCGAGCGCCGCGCGGAGCCACCGCCATATACGGCGCTCGATTTTTTAACTCACTTTTGCGCGCTCGACCAGTCAAGACTGTACAGATATACACAGTGCACCGTCGATGATCCGTTCCTTGGGGAGGGACTGTTTTGTGGGCCAGCAGGTCACGGGGCATTGCGCGCACGGAGGATTTCTTTAAAAAGCGCGGCCTTGCCGCGGCAGCTTTTCACTTCGCCTCCTCCTCCTCCTCCTCGTGCGTTCGAATAATTTTTGGCGAGCGAATGTCCTCCCGCTGGCGCTGTATTATACTGCCTTTACCTCGTCATGCGTGAAAAGAAGCATGAGAAATGCATATAGCTGCGGTGCGTAGGATAGACGCACAAAATTATAGTGTATGGCAGAGGAGAATGGCCCACTCGGCGAATTTTCGCGCGTTTGAAAAAGGCGACGGCCAAATTAAATTGGCTCGACCGCCTCGAAAAAAGCCTCCTCTCTCGCTTCGTGCTCTCTCCTGTTTCCATCGCTTTTAATTTTCAGAGGAGCTTGTCATTGTTGCGCCGCTCCCTGGTTATACACTTTAAATACCCGGCGCGGGGAAACTTGACGTTTTTCCCGTCACATCTATTTTTTCACCTCCACCGCAAAGTCTTGTGTTACACGCACAGAAGAATTTAATATTCGGCGCAACGGTTGAAATCGCTGTAATTAACGGCCAACAAAAGCGCGCTTAATTATTGTCGCGATTAACGCTGACGATGGATTAATGACTTTTGGAAGCGGAGACCCACCGGAGCCGCGCTATTAGCCTTACACCAAAAACGCGACTCGTTCCACTTAATATATATAATGAGGCACTAAATTATCTTTTTGGATTTTGTCGCACGTTTGTTCGCGCAACATATACCGAGCCAAGTTTTTTTTTTTCCCCAACATCGGATTTCAATTTCGCGAAAAAACTCCTCTTTCTTTTTTTTTTTGTTTTGCTTCGGCATCTTACGAGTATAAACTCGCTTCATGACGAAAACCCCCTAGGTGGCCTCGTACTGCCGGCGGGACCATCGCGTCACACAGAGGTATACACATATAATATACGCCCATGTAACGTAAAAGGTGCGTATACATATAAATATAGACCGGTCCTCTCCCTCTTTTTCTCGCTCTCGCGCGGGTGCTCGGGGAGACACGACGACGCAGCTGCTGTACTTCCTCGGGGGGCGAAACAAACTCGCGCGAGAGAGGGACCGCGAACTATTCTTGGAGAAGTCAGTCAGAGTGTAACATTCGCCTTCGCGTCGACGACGCGGTCAGTACACGACTTGGTGCTGTTGCAGCCGGTGTATTAAGCGCGCCCCAGTGTGAGTGTAAAATTAAGATTCGCCGCTGATTCTAATTTTTTTTTTTTTTTTTTTTTTTTTTCCCTTTTTTACTAACCGCTTTCGCTAGAGCTTGCGAGTGTGCTTACCGATTTACGTTTTTTCAAGTGCAAACGTACATGTGTACTTACGGGTGCCAATAACCCATAAATATCATATACATTATAATACGCTTGCCGGTCGCGTGGAGTGCTCTCCCGAGAGATGGTTGTTGTATAGAGAGAAGAAACTAGCCGGCTCCGACGCCGAGTGTGCGGGTGTGCCCACTTTTAGAGTGGCTCCTCTTCTTCTTCATCTCCTTCCGTATAGTATTTGCCGAACGGAACGATCATAGTGCTTCCCGAGGCTGCACGTACACGTATATATTTGTATCAGAACCGCTGCTCTTCTTCTTCTTCATCTTCTACCCTGTGCTTTCTTTTATCGTGCTTCGAGGTGCTCTTTCACCAGCTAAACCCCAAGTGTGCGTATATATATATATATATATAGAAATCGGTTGTGCGCGTTGTTTTACGCGATTTTTAGTGCCGGAGACTTTCGTCACCACGCAGTGTTTGAGTCGAGGCGTGCCGTCGTAAATTTTCCGCACAATTTAAAAATACCGAAAGCTCCTCTCGCTTTTATACTCTTGGAGGGTATACATATACCGACGTCGACAAAAATGTAAAAAAACACAAAACACAACGCGCGTTACTTAACACAATTTGTCGTTCAAAGAGTCAAAAGGGACAACGAATCGTTTTGCAAGCTCGTGGTACAATAATTGCATTAGATGCGTGCCACTGCAGCTGTTTCGTTCTCGATCGAGCGAGACGCGCACCGCTCTATTATTATCTATATACACGCTGTCCGCGCGCACACACACACATGTTTTACACAGTTTTAAAAATTAACGAAAAAATATAACGCTGCATGTTTTCCAGGTCGTCGGCTATACACATGCATACCTTTAATATCTATTTTGAAATACAGAGGGTGGTTCGCGTTTATACTTATTGTTTCGTGCCAAGAACCAACAACTGCCACCGCGCTTTATCAGAAATTCATATTGCGCCTCGCATAAGAACAATCCCGCATATATTTTCGTCGAAATTCACTTCCACTTTATGTAATCGTCTTTTCGCGCGTAGCCCACCCATGTGCGCGAAAAAGGGACGTGAAGCCATAATTTTAAGAACCATCGGCTCTGGTCCGAAATTTGGTTTTTGAGAAAATCATCGTGTTTTTTAACTTTATGCGTCACTTTTTTTTTAATATACTATAATAGATAAGATGTTAAATAATCGTCAGTACATAATAAGCCATTAATTATCCATCATAGGAGGCACTCGCGTGTTATTTTCAGCGGGTAAATTCATTGCGACCAATGGCACCGTGCCAATGAAAAATAAGAATATAAAAAAATTTTTTCTCCCTCTCGAGTATCCTCTCCCTGGCAGCGTCGAAGATGCAATTTACTGTGAAATATGTATCAGTTTGTTCTAATTAAAATCAAAATGTATCCTCGTGCGTGTGTTATTATGTTTGCTGAGAGCCAATCTTTGTACTTTATACTCGCATTGGAGTTTGAATTCAGATCGAAAGCTTTCGCGTGCTTTCCTCCCGTACCTTACACGTACTTCTAGAAAATATTACAGTATTATCATACAATGCGACGTACGATATATTTTTGGATAATCATATGACACGCCAAGCACGCGAGCGTCGAACATTTAGCGCTGATTTACACTTGATCATCATTTTTTTACCTTATCTATATAATATCGCCTCTTTGATAATACCCACCTACTATCACTTGAGGTAGAAGTACGCGTGTGCGCGTATAAAAAAAGTAATATGTGCCTTTAAGCCACGACAAAAAGATTTTTATAAGCGTATAACCCTTGCTCCAATCTCCGTGTTGTAAACTTTGTAATCTCTCGTTTATTTTATCGCGCCAACACACGCACATTATATTCCTGTACACGTGAATAACACGGCACGACGTGTATTATAGATACGTGATAGAAATTTTCGGCTTCTGTTTACCTTTATATACGTATATACGACAAGTGGGTTAAAAATATACCTTCTTCTTCCCAACGGAAGCTAGCGAGTAAATGTGGAAATTTCAATCGTTTAAGTTTAAAAGATTTTTAAACTTCCAGCTCCATCCTGCCGTTGTATGTATATAACGAAAGCCTTTTTTTTCTTTCGTTGTAAAATTACGGGCGGTGGGTGGGAACTTGTAACACTAGTAATCAAATTTAAATTATAAGATATACCTACTTATAGGTATACACCTCTTGTGAACTTGAAAACGTATAATTGGAGACAGAGGTGTACGAATATCATTGTATGAATTTCACGTTTAATGAATCGAGTGTGAAATAGTAGTAACAATATCATTGAGAATGAAAGCGTCAGTTTGAATAACTGTAGAAATAACAAGTGATTTTACATAATATAGGTGTACTACCTTGTAGATAAGTAAGAGTGAAACACATCCATCCTCGTCAAATTCTGCACTACGATTTTAGCGCGTTACTTACACCCTAGTTAGCAGCGAAACAGTAAAGGTGTGCGTCACTGAAGGTAATAAATATTATATCACAATTAAGTATATCGGTATCGTAACTCGTAACCGATGAGTGTGTATTACCTCACGGTTGAAGTATCACTTTTCAAGTGACAGATAAATAAATAGCTAGCGCGTTACAATTTCAATTTTGCGAAGAAGTAGGTATATTGGGAAGGATCTCCCATTCGAAACGTATAGGCTTATGGGTACCTATACATATAGGTATGTGTATAGTGCGTAGTAGTTAGAGTGACATTGTTTTGTTTACCAAAGTTGCAGAGCGCCTGGAGCCAGATAGTCCCGACGTGCACGCCTGCATACATCCGAGCTCGAGATCCCAGATACCATCACCCACATCATCAGCTGGAGGGTCCAAAATCCAGCCTGGACTGCTATATAGAGAGGAAGAGCCGAACGAAGAGCAGGACGAAAACATACACATATCTCTACTCATCAGGTAGGTGTGGGTGGCGTGTACACAAAACTATACATATATACACTTTGACGCGGCTTGCGCGCGCCGGTATATATATATATATGAGGCATTTTGGAGCTGGAGCGTATATGTATATAAACACACACACTAAAAACATACGTATATTGTATGTTGTACCGAGCAGGAGCAAGCGAGATAGCTGCAGCGTACAAGTGTATAACAAAGGCAAGAAAGAGAGAGAGTCAGCGTAACGAAGGCGCACACACGCACACCACACATATATATATATATTCATACGTGCGCCTGAGGTGGTGGATAACAACTAGCCGGCAAAATGAATGAGCATGACAGTAGAGCAGTCAACCGCGAGCAGCAGGCGGAACAGGAGACAGAAATGGTTGAGCGCGAACTTGCCGAGGACGCCGAGTGGAAGCGTATCCAGCAGAACACCTTCACCCGCTGGGCCAACGAGCACCTCAAGTGCGCGAGCAGCCACATCTCGGATCTCGAGACCGACCTCTGCGATGGCCTCAAGCTCGTCAGCCTCATCGAGGTACTCGCCCAGAAGAGGCTGCCCAAGCACAACAAGAAACCGACCTTTCGCTCCCAGAAGCTCGAAAACGTCGAAATCGCCCTCAAGTTCCTCGAGAACCAAGGCATTCGCATCGTCAACATCGGTACGTCCCTTCTCACGTTTCACCATTGCTTGCTGCCCTTATCATCATCATTGTTAACACATACATATATATATATATATATATTACGTGTCAAAAATTACCTTATCCTGCACGAGCTCCAATCCCTTGATGACCATTCCCATCGTAACTTGATCCACTCGTACACCCATCACGTATAACTTATTGGTAGGTATACCCGCAAAAAACGTGTACCACAATGCTCCCGCCCTTTTCGCCTCCGCCAATCTGCCACTCCAATTCATTTTTAATCGGTCCTTTATAGTTGCTCGTTCGACGTTTTATTTTTAGCTTTTTTTTTCATAATTACGTGATTACGTACGTTTCGAACTATTTTCACGAGTATATATATATTACTTATATATGTATATAACGTGCAAGTATGAAAATGTATCGAACGAATCATGAAACAAAAGATTAAAGTTGAAGAAAAAAGCGGATATTATCGTCGCTTACAAAGTATATATCAGTCGATTGTCGCGAGGATCGTTAAAAAATTGTTTGAAGCAAATTAGACGAATTAATATTCAGCCACGGCAGTTTATTATTATAACACGCGTCAGGCCTTGCTTTAACGTTTTAAAATAATGGCACGCACAGGAGCGATAAGTAAGTAACGTAATTGAAACGCGAGCGCGACAATTAGCGTCGAAGGGGGGGGAGAGAAAAAAAAAAAAAGTTGCGACAGGTAGCGCCCGATTAAGGTGTGCTTTCGGCACAATTTTGGAAATTCATCAGCTGATGGTTATCTGCCATTGCCACGCGCCGATAGCACCAACTTTTTAAGAGTTACGAGGCGCGTGATGGATAATGTAAATCGAGTTGCTGATAAAAAGAAAAAATAGTCCCCTATGGCTTTTTCATTAAGCTCACCTTAGTTTAAACGTCAACCCGTGCAAGCTGATCATACCGGTGTACGAATCGGTGATTTTCAAAGTCATACGATTAATGTGTGAAAGACCTTAAAAATTCCGCGAAACTGCATAATGTATAAATACAGGACCATGGGGGCGCGCAAGGATGCATGGCATAATGTCACTATATATCTATGGTGCGCGCGGAAAGGCGCGGATCGATTATTCGGCCAGGGAGGCTGACTCTGCACCGGCTGCTTTTCTCCCCTTTCCCCGGCACCTGTACCCATTAACCCGATTCGCTGTCTGTCAAGGCTGATTTTTTTTCTTTTCTTTTTTTTTTATTAATTTTTCAATAAAAAAAATAGGTGCACACGTGCAGTGATTGTCTGCATGCGTGGCTAAAGACGGGCGAGCGCAAAGTAAGCGGTAAAAAATATAATGAATTACCAGTAGACGGTGGGAGCTCGATACCGCGACTGTTGCCTGTATACGTGTGCCATTTACAGTAGGTATATATTATAAAGCACACCTGTGTATAGGTGATGCGAAACGCCCTCGCCATACCGGCAAAGGCGTATATATAAATATGCACATATATACCTATCAACATACACGTGCTTCTCGATCCGTCCTCGTGTCAGTCGTGTCGTGTATACAGGTATATATGAGTAAATGTGCCTATATACACATCACCTATCTCGCGAATGGCCACTTGTTGACGAGTCGAGTCGCGGCTTTCGCAGCCTATATGTGCGCTCCGCGACCCGCGCACTTTTAAAAAAATTCGCCCGTTATTTCGACAATCTCAAAGAGCCTCACGCCTTTCCTTATTTTCATTTTATCGTGCCATATCTGTATGTCATGACTGTATGATATGTTATATGTGTAGACATTGGAGTTTGGCCCAATTGAGTACCAAACATTGAAATCGAGCGTTCAATTGGTACCTACTTGCCATACAATCGCCGCAGTTGCCTCCTCTCTCTGTAATTAAGCCGCTCGCTATAGTACTTGGCTCTATATAATATTAAGTCGTCGTTTTATCGCAACTGATATTTAATCAGCGTCGAGTGGGTAATATGTTTTCCTACTGTAATTTGTCTGCTCGAATAACCCCACGACAATTGATACCGTGTCGTTTAATTTTGTTTTAATTATAGATGCTATGAATTGCGTTCTTCTAGTTGTGTCACTTTATACTAAAAGTGTATGTATATATTATCCGACAACAAAAAAGCAACTGTTGTCGATACTCGAAAAAAAAAAAAAAAATTCCCACATCACAGAGGGGCATTAGTAGCATCATCACGTGATCGCGAAACCCTGGCGTTGAGAAGAAATCGGTTGTGTGAGTATATACCTGGATCGTGCGCGGGAGCGCTAGCTGAGGCAATCGGTGACGTCAGCGTCTAAACTCGCACCGAGTATACACACGGCTGCTGCTCCAGCACCTCTCTCTCTCTCTCTCTCTGTGTCTTCAATGCCGTCATCGAGGACGCAGCCTGACATTTTTCTCCTTCGTTCGTTCTTTTTTTTTTTTTTTTTTTTTTTTTTCTTCCCTCGAGCCTGCCTTTTTGGGGGGCCTACTGCGCGCCACTAAATTATGATGTATATGTGTACCTGTGCGACGAGGAGTCGGAAAAAGGGGAGAGAGCCCGTTGGGCCACTGTCGAGAAATCCCAATGGAAACACCATGAAGTCCAACCGGTTTTTCTTCCCTTCCCCCTGCCCTTCGCCTTCGCTGACTCCCAGGGCTTGGTTTTTACAAGGCGCTGCTCGTTCTTCATAACAAAGCTGATGGTGGAGTTTTTGGAAAATTTTTCCCTCGAAAATCAAACACTACACCGCACTGTCGTCGTCCCCTTTTCTTTTTCACTTTCAAAATTGAAATTCGGTTAATGTTTTTTCTTGAAAAGAACGAAAATTTGGCCCATCCGTAACGATTTCCCAATGACGCCCACTTTCAAAAGCTTAACGACTTTAAAAGGGGCGATAAGCACTGGCGCGGATAGCTATTACAAATAAGCCCTACTTTCTCATGCTACTTATTACGACAAACTCGAATGGACATGATAAGAAAAAAAAAAGGGAAAAAATGTCCAAGTCACCTACGCCGTACATAAGTGGTTCCTGAAGAAATTGGCCGTATTGTATCCACACGCATACATGTATACACACTCGTCCTTTCGTATAACCACTCACGGCCTGACGTGTCATGCGTGTACGTATGTATATATGTGCTCAGGAGCACGTGTACACTTATATACACGAGATGCGGCTGGAGATTCATGGCACGCGCGTTTTAAATGGACGTAATTCCATATGATGAATCTCGAGAGTGGGAATAAAAGACGAAAACCGATACGGCGCCAACAGTGTGCCGTGCAATATTATAATACTATAGGTATCACATACTTACACGAAATTCCATTGGCCGCTTGACTTGGCGATTCTTTTGCATACACTGAAAGTTTTTCATTGTCACGCTTATAAATTAGTTTGGTAATTTTCAACAAGTGGGCAATATCCGCGATGTGAATTGATTTAGCGCCACCCATGAAAAAAAAAAAAAAAAAAAAAAAAAAAAAAAAAAAAAAAAAAAACGATTGTTCGGTTGGGAGATCGAGCTAATTTTTTGAGATCGCGAGAGCAGACAACAGATATACTTACTTGTTTACACATCAGAGAGATCCCAAGCGCAATAATGCCAAGGCCATCCTCGGCAAGTGATTCAATCTGCCCGATGATGATCATCTCTTCGGCAAACGTTGACTCAACTCTCTCGCGAGCAGTACTTGTGTGACGGAAATACAATTAGGTGGTACACGCTCCACTGCTTATACACATTATTGTTATTACGAGCTTGAGATCGAGAGTATGTACGTGGCTAATAATAGTATACAGTGGCATCGGCCCCCCCGTGATTTTTCAGCTGTGCGATAACACTCGTCCAATAAGAAAACATGTAGCTCTCAGCTCTTATATTTCCTATTTTTTTTTTTTTTTTTTTTTTTCATCCTCGATTACGAACTCGGCGCGAGTACCATGCGTAACAATTGCATTATGGACGTAGCAAAATCATCATTGAAACAGGTGTGTAGCCGCGAAAAATAACAACATCCGCGTGAATATCGAAGCCGCGCTCCAGATCGATCCAGGTTATTGATCTTGTGGCATCGCGAGCTACGAGCTATTGGATAAGCTGAAATAGAGAGAGGAGCTCGGGTTTGATCTCTTTTTTTTTTTTTTTTTTTCTCCTTCAGAGAGATTATACGAGCACAATGAGCGCTTTCATCTCTCCACCATTCTCGTTTGGGAATCGCAAAGTTGATTCCACTTCTCAGTGCCTTCCTCGTGAGACTCTTCATTGGATCGTCTCGGTATCAAGAAGAATGGAAATTGCCAAAGAAGAAATCGATGGCACTGTAAAAATAAAATCCCTCATTCGGAGAAATGTTTTATTGTAGCGGTAAGGCTGTTTTAGGTGCATAATAATCTTGCTATTGGGATCGCACGTGAATTTTACCTGAATATTTTCATAAAAGCTCTTTTTTTTTTTTTTTCTCGCGACATGACGCTCGGCCAGCTTACATAGGCAATTCAAGTGTAAAACTAAACACAATTCAGTTTCTGTCACGGATTTTGAAAAATTCCAAAAGTTTATTTTTAAATACGCTCAGGGGTACTACTTGGAGTGTTTTTAAGTAGAACACCTCCGCGCTTGGAAATTAAACCTCCGAAGAAGTGTTTATCATTACCTACACACCAAAGAATTTTAAAACTAATACGATATACGAAAGCAATGAAAAAAAAAAAAAGGACCAAAAAGAGTTCAACACTTCTTGGAAATGGTATCATAGTGAGAAAGTTTTTTCAACAACGCAACCGAAGGAAAAAAAGTCAATTAAACCTGTGACATCAGTATAAGTGATTACATCGACGCGAGAACAGTAATATCTTAAAATATCTATATTTATATTGATGTCATTTTTCCACGAACACCTACTTTTTCCGAACTTCATTATTATATTATACAAACGTGTGATGCGGTATCTGTCTATTAAACGCTCGTTTACAACGACGATTTAGTTAGCCTATCTGTTTTTTTGTAAAACGATTTACTCCAGAATAGTGATAATATACCCAACCTATATTATATGCGAGCATTTCTTAAAAATAGTTTAAAAATAGAAATGCCGCAACACTTGAGCATTTTTTTAAGTTAGTTTTTTTTTTTTTTTCATTAGTTCTGTCCACACCGTCGACAGCTGAAATAGTATTTCTGTAGACTGTTGCGCCACTAAGATATGTTGCAATTATACAGTTAAACGCCGATGGCGCGATAGACGAAATAATGATGTCGAGCGCTCGAAATTTTTTAGCATAAGGTGACAATGACTGCGTTACTTACCTACAATGACTGCATCCGAGCGCGTCTGACTCACTACTCGCGTCACCTGTATATACTTATATACGCTCACAATTAACATTGTCTCCGACACTTTCAAACACCGAATATGCAGATCCGATGCTGTTGGCTCTTTCTACTGCAACGAAGGCGCATATAATATACATATATTATATACATGTCTGTTGGAATGAATGACAATTAATTTGATCAGCGTCCAAAAAGCATCGGGACACGCGAGCCGGCGACAACTTGCACGTGTTGTTTTTTCAACTTTTACGCGACTACTCGTTTCCCGAGCATTTAGTGGGAATGTATTTTTGTTTTTCGCAGCCCCTCCGTGGGTGGTGATGTATATGTGTCGCGAGAGATGTACATTCTTACGGCGTTTCGCGCGAATCGAAAATAGTTTTTGACGCATCTGTTTTTTTCTTTCTTTTTTTCCCCCTTAATTTTGCTCGTGGAGAGGAATTATATTTTCGCTAAAAAATCGTGACTAACGATGGCGGGGGAGCTTCGAGTCGAGCCGGGTGTATATATATATATTGTTATACGTGCTGCCGGGCGATGGACGTGATTTTGAAATAAACAAGAACATCGCGAGAAAGAGGAAAGTGGTGGTGTTGCACAATGTGATCGCGCCCACAGTCGCGAGGTCTAAAATTGGCGAGCGCCAAGCCAGCTTTACGTGTATGCTTCGAGATGAACTTTTCTATATACGTTTAGCGCTGGCGAGCTTTCGCGAATGAATAGAAAGGGGGGGGGGAAACGAGATACGCGACGTCTATATAATAACGATATTCTCGATTCAAGTTGCGCTAATATCCTATACCATGTGTGTAGTCGCTGAAAATGTTGATACCTTGAGGGATTCATAATTATATTTGCCCATCAGGTGTAGTTTAGTCTGTTGACTCTGTAATCGCCTTTGCAATCCCTTCTCTCTCCAATTAAAATTCATGCAATGGTATTTAAACGTTTTCAGAAAAAAATATTATGAAAACACATCGTGCCACGCGTGCCATATCGGCAAACGATGCTCTTTTTCTTGGTATTTACCATATATATATATATATACACACTGATAAATTCGGATGAACATTTTTCCGAGGTTTACTTCTTGGTATTTTATTGATGGGTAAAAAAAAGTTATATTCTGACAATCGAATCGAATGACAATGAAAATGATTTGTAAAGGCAAGTCCTCGTGAAAAAAGGTCCCATTGGGATATTTCAAACGTACAAACGAATCGGTTGCAGACTCGTCGCACATAGTCGATTGCAAGCTCAAGCTGATCCTCGGGCTGATATGGACGCTTATCCTGCACTACTCGATCTCTATGCCAATGTGGGAGGGTGACGAGGTCAGCCCAGACAAGGGCGCCACCCCGAAGCAGCGCCTCATGCAGTGGATCCAGTCGAAGATACCGGACCTGCCCATCTCCAACTTCACCTCGGACTGGAACGACGGTCGGGCGGTTGGGGCCCTCGTCGACGCGGTCGCCCCCGGGCTCTGTCCCGACTGGCAGGACTGGAACCCCAAGGATGCCGCCCAAAACGCCTCCGAAGCCATGGGCTTGGCCGACGACTGGCTCAACATACCCCAGGTGCGTTACTCCCACTTTTGAAGAGGAAAAACTTCCTTCGAGGGAAGAGACCTTCCAGTAGCCCTCGTGGACAATTTTAATCATTAAAGTTTGCACTTGTAGTTGATCAAACCAGAGGAGATGGTTAACCCGAACATCGACGAAATGTCCATGATGACGTATCTGTCGCAGTATCCCAACGCAAAGTTGAAGCCCGGCGCGCCTCTCCGCCCGAAAACTAATCCAAACAGGTAACGTGGACCCACTTTTTTTTTTCATTTTCTCTTGCCCATCGAGGTATCTTCCACCCATTCTATATATACATATACCAACGTGCATATGTTGTCACGCTAAGATCACGAATCTAGTATAATCATCATGTCTTTAATTATTGAATGTACATATACATGTATACAATGATGATACGATCATATATGTGCTTTGAAGAGAAAAAAAAAAAAAAAGAAAGAGACGAACTGTGATGGAAAAAGTTGAATAATTCATAAATTTATTTCATGCCTCGAATGCAGTGTGCCGCCACCGCGGTAAGTCATTCAACGCGCATCGCTTTTTCTGTATAACTTACACACGTAATCGTAACAAAAGTAATACGTAGTCCTACAGTGTTTGCGGATTGGGATTTTTTTTTATTATGATTTGTCTCAGCGCATTTTAATTTATATGCTTATTGCCAGTCCGACGTTTTTAACATTTCGTAGGAAGCACCGCTTTACGCTTTCATTGTATATCAAGCGCATCACACCCACACTTTGATTATTTATTTCGCACATCTATAAGTATACTTGCTGGTTTCATTAACATTTTTTATTTTGGCACTACTTATTATTATTATTATTTTTTTGCTCTCTTTTGCTTTGCGAACAATGCTGCTGGCACCAACAATAACAACAGCATAAAACCACTCGATCGGAAATACTAAATCATTTTTTTTTTTTTGTTTTACACACGACACGAGGAGCTGTCCTTGTGTCATTTGTTTCGATATGATTAAAAAGTGCAGCTTTGATAACATTAACGATGTATGGATATTGCAGTCGGTGTCTATGTACAGAGACGCCATGTATCTATACTTTTTTTTATTTGTTGTAATCTAAAAATATTAAAATTTGTGCGCCGTGAGGTAAGGTATATGGGCAAATGTACAGATTGACGGAGAATGTTGCAGGGTAAGGGCCTACGGTCCTGGAATCGAACCGACGGGCCCGGTCACCGACGCCCCGGCCAACTTTATCGTCGAGACATTTTCCGCTGGTAAGGGAAATGTGGAAGTTACCGTCGAGGATCCGAAGGGTGCTAAATTACCGGTAAGGCGTTCGTACTTTTTCTCCTTTTTCCTTCTAATTCAAATCGAATATATTGTGTTCTCCTCGTGTTAGGTTGTTTATTTTCGACCCCGGATGTTTTTCCGCCTATTTTTCGTCTACGTTTTTTTTTTTTTTTTTTTTTTTTTTTGAACAATTTTTTCGCTCCGTAAAGAGCTTAGGACTGTTTATTGTCGGATTTTTGTCCCTTGTGTCGTATTTTTTCTGCTCATTTGAAAACATCATTTCCAGGCACGACTGCTTCATAGACGTATCTTATGTTTTATTCGGAGAAAAAACTACAATAACACTAAATAAAATCACTATTTTTGGCTGCATTGTAATTTTGATATGTAATTTGTCAGCTCCAATACTATGCAGGATTAAATGAAAAAGAATTAACAAGTTTTTTGTACTTGTTGATTTAAAAATTGACACTTTGGACAAAAGTTGTGATTTCGCGATAGAGATTAATATGCGATAACTCTTGCTTTGTCCATACAGTTATTCCTTCACACTAAAAGCAGAAAAATAAACTTTGATTTTAATGAATAATGTAGCAATCGTGCCTTGTACGCTGAAATTTACTCCGTCATTTACGTAAATGTACCCACTTGTCTGTTTTGAAAAAGTGAAAAAAAAAAAGAAAAAATATTCCACCCCGTGATTTTTTGAACCCTCTGAAAAAAAAGATTTTTCTTCCAATATGTATATTTTTGAAAGTGATTTGTCGAGAGTCGTGAGAGTATGTAGATAACAATTTTTGATGTGCCTCCTTACTGTAAGCATATTATCATGTATGTGCCATTGAAAAGCTCACCTCGTAGAATATGATCTTCTACAGCTTCACACCTGTAGGCATATTCGTAAACGTATTTGTCGTGAATACGCACGAAGGTAAGGTATATATACATATACATGCATTCCATTATCCTTGCCAAACATCCATGAAAAACTGGATAGTTGGCGGGTGTGTAAACTTGTTGTTTAAGCGTTTGAAACTCACCTACGTAACAAACTGTTTTTTTTTTTTTTTTACTTATTTATTAACCCAAAAAAAAGTGTAATCAGATGGATAGAGAGGGAGAGAAATTCATCATTGTCGCGTGGCTGGGTTGCAGGTCAACATTAGGTTCAACAACGATCGCAACCTCACGTACTCGGTGTCGTACACGCCGAAGACCGACGGCCCGCACAAGGTGCGCGTGCTGTTCGGGGGTCGCGAGATCCCGAAGAGCCCGTACTCGGTGATGGTCGAGGGCCGCGCGGGAGACCCGACCAAGGTAACAGCCAGCGGCCCGGGTCTCCTGCCCGACGGCGTCGTCGTCAACCGACCCACCTACTTCGAGGTCTTTACCAAGGACGCCGGCAAGGGCGTGCCCGAAGTCATCATTCTCGACCCTCAGGTTTGTCCACACGCCTACTATCAACCAAACGTATCTCATATGTATTTTCCAATTCTTTTGTTTACCGATCTAATCTTCCGCAGGGTAACAGAGCAACGGTGCCGGTTAAGCTGCGCCAGACCGCGCCGGACGTCTACCGCTGCGAGTACACCTCGCCGATTATTGGATTGCACTCGGTTAACATCTTCTTTGCTGGCAAGCTCATTCCCAACAACCCCATTGGGGTGCGCGTGGCGCCGATCTCTGACGCGAGAAAGTGCCGAGCGTACGGGCGAGGCCTGCTGGCCAACGGCGTGCGCGTCAGGGACGACGCGGACTTTAAGATTTTTACGAAAGGCGCGGGCGAGGGAGTGCCCGAAGTTAAGGTCATTGGACCGGGTGGTGTCAACTTGCCGGCCAAGTACGTAGTTCTTTTTTTTTTCAGCTATATATTTTAATAGTTTACCAAAGAATTGAGGTACATAAAACGCTCGTCTGGTTGTAGTCTTAAAAAAATCGACGACACGACGTACGAGTGCCACTATTACCCGGTTAAGGACGGCCGTCACATTGTCATGATAACTTACGGGGGCAAAGAGATACCAAACTCGCCCTTCGAAGTCAACGTGGGTGTGTACAAGGAGTCCGACATCCGAGTCTTTGGGCCTGGCCTGCACGGCGGCGTAGTCGGACACCCGGCGCGGTTTACCGTGGACACGAACGGCGAAACCGGAGCCCTTGGTTTTTCGATCGAAGGGCCCTCCAAGGCGAAAATCGAGTGCAACGACAATGGCGATGGTACTGCCGATGTCGAGTACCTGCCAACGGAGCCCGGCCCCTACGCCGTGCATATACTCTGCGACAACGAGGATATTCCAAAGTCGCCGTACATCGCCACCATCGTGCCGAAGAGCGACTTTCATCCAGACAAAGTATATACCGTTCCAAAGTTTGAAATTATAGCAGGAATCGATATTTCTTTAATTTGTATCGGTATTGAAAACGCTTGGTTTGGTCTTAGGTCGAGGTTCACGGTCCCGGAATTCAGCCATCGGGATTGGTCATGGATAAGCCGACCAACTTTACTGTTGACGTGAAGAAAGCAGGACAAGCTCCCTTGGAGGTGGCTATTCAGGATGCCCTCGGTAGAGACGTACCAATTAAGCTTGAAGACAAGCGTGACGGAACGATACAAGCACATTACAAACCGACCTCTGGGTCTCAGCACGTCGTACAGGTATGCTCACATACATACGTCGGATAGTCTATGGATCTCGATATGATAGATGTAATAACATGTGTCAAAATTTTTATTTCAGGTCAACTACGGCGGTGTTGCCACGAAAAAGTCACCATACAGAGTCAAAGTCGAGGCTCCATTGAACCCTGCACTGGTGCAGGCCTTTGGTCCCGGACTTGACAAGCCTGTGAGGACAAATACTCCCACTCACTTTAACGTCAACTGTCGCGAGGCTGGTCCTGGTGAATTGAAGGTTGACATGAAAACTCCAGATAATCGTGACTTACCAATCGAGGTTAGTGACAACGATGATGGTACCTACACGGTCGATTACGTTGCACCAGAGCCGGGCACCTACACCGTCAACCTGAACTATGGAGGCTTGAAAGTACCCAAGAGCCCCATGAAAGTCAAAGTTTTGCCACACGTCGACGTTTCGAAAGTCAAAATCGATGGCCTGTCACCGAGTAAGTGTTATCAGAAGTTTATTACAGTTTTTTTTTTTTTTTTTTTTTAATACATATTTATTACCCATTTGTAAATTCGGTCGGTAAGAGATTGATTCTCAAAAAGATGCATAGTTTGCTTGATCCTAGAATTGAAAAGAAAAAAAAATTTTCTCATGAAAAACAAAGTTATTTTAGTTTTTTATTTTTTCACTGATATAATTCTTAAACTTAGCATCTCTTTGAAAGTCGTACACAAGTCGCGTAGGCCACAGGGGATGGTCCAGTGTGTGAAAGTTACCAACGCTTGTACTTGTCAAAATCTAGAAATCACCAGAATTCGAAGAAGAAGACCGAAGAAGAAGAGAAAGAAAGAGAAAAAATGAAAAATAGCGTATGACGAAAATTCCAGTGGAATCCGTGACGAGCACGCGAGTTTATTCTCGGCCGAAAAACGAAGAGAGCTTTTTCTATAAATACGTTGACTCTGAGCCGGATAAATATAACAGACTCGGGGCGCGGGAAAGCGATAGCTCGAACGATATACACTCGATGGGGCAATCCCCGCGAGCCGAACCGTCTCCTCTCGACTCGTCCTCCGTAGATGAGGTGACGCGGCTCAAGTACTTGCTGTGTTTTAGCTTCTCATGTAATAACAACAACAACACCTGACTACATTGATTGGGCACGCGATGACTTATCGAACTACGTTGAATAAGTACAAACTGCTTGTGGCTACAGCGCTCTCTAACTCTCTGTAGACGCGTTAAAAAAAAAAAAAAAAAAAAAAAATGAATTACGATTATACCCACGGCACACAGACGTGTAGACCGATGATGGAAAAAAAAAAAGATGATCTTCCCGCGCTTTTTATAATCGATTGGTTCTAGTGAATAATAACCGCTTGAGCTGACTCACGCAAAACTGCCGGCAGATCTCTCGCGCTCTGCTTGCTGGTAACTTAATCCGCAGAGGCCCCACACAGCATCAGCATCAGCCGTGGCAGAGCAGTAGTAGCAGTAGCAGCGTCGTTCGATATAAAACGGCACCAAGAACGGGCATTAGTATACTGCACCTTACACTCGCGGCTAAAATACTCTGCACATATATATATATACATACATATACGTGTAGCAGTAGTAATAATAAAATAACAATAGTGTACACATGGTCATACATAATATACAATTATATATAAAAATTAAGACGCTGAACAGCCCTTGGCAAGTAAAGTAAAAAAAATAAAACGAGGCGGCGGCCCTTAAAGCCGCGCCGCTCAACAGCATCCAGCAGTTCCGCTTGCTGACCCAGGCGGCGGGGAGTCCCGTCGACGCGCAGGTCTCGATAAGCGCGCCCTCGGGCTCGCGGCCGCGCGCAACCGTCCAGCCGATCGAGACCGGCTACCTCGTGAGCTTCACGCCCTCGGAGCCGGGCGAACACCTCATCGGCGTGAGCTTTGCCGGGGAGCCGATCCCTGGCTACCCGCACCGGATGATCTGCGTCGAGAGTTACGAGCCCGGCCGGGTGCGGGCCGACGGTCCAGGTCTGAGCCACGGCCTCGTGGGCCGGCCGGCCGAGTTCCTCATAGACACGCGCGGCGCCGGCCAAGGCGGCCTCGGAGTCACGGTCGAGGGCCCGTGCGAGGCGGTCATCAATTGCCGCGACAACGGCGACGGGACCTGCGGCGTTGCCTACCTGCCCACAGAGCCCGGCGACTACACTGTCAACATCACCTTCAACGACCAGCACATACCCGGCTCGCCCTTCGAGGCCATCGTCGTCTACGAGCCGGCTCCCCCCGAGCTCGGCAGGATTCGCATCTCGGGCCCCGGCGTTCAGCCTCATGGTCAGCAGCATCTCACCACCACCACCACCACCACTTCATGCACCTCGTTGTAACAATATATTACATCCTGCACATGTTGTTAGCCGCCCCTCGGCACACCTGACCCCTTTTCCGTTGTTTCTTCTAAACACTTGTACTCATCATGTATATCATATATAAGCTCTCTTTCTACCTGCTCTCGCTCGACAAGTACCCCTCGGGAGGACGAAGATGACGACGCCACGGCTGCTGTTGTTTTACACCTACACGCTTTAATCCCTTTACTTTTCGTCCCTCTTTACTTACCCCTGAACAATTTTTGTGACGCTCGTTTTTCCTTCCCCCTTCAGCATGCTGAACTCGAGAGTGTGCACGATTTTCGTGTGTTCCTTGGTGTATTGCAGTGCTCCACAGACTAAGTGCGTGATTTTTTTTACCACCCACACACATGTATATTTATATATACACTCTGTGTTGCGTATATTTGTTTGTTATATGGCTTATTTGTTTGGCTGCTTATACTGTTGTTGCACCAGTTTGTGTATTTTTAGCGGCCCGATTCGTGGATTTGCGTTGCTCCGTGCGTATGACTGTTTGGTGTTTCTAACGAATCCTGTGTTAATTTTATGGAAAAGAGGAAAAAAGAAATAAAAGAAAGAAAAAATTTGTTAGATTGTTCACCGCCTCGTTTGAGAACAATCACAAGTACTTGGCCGTTGTTGTATAATTTTGTGAATGACGACGATGCGGATATATATCGTTGTACCGGCGTTGCGATATACTTTGATGTAACTTTAGTCGTATGCATATACATATATATATATGAATGTATGTATTGTAGCGAAGCTCGTTCAAACTAAAACACCACGACACTTGCGTTTCAGGCTTGAATCTGTACCAGCCGACCGAGTTCACGATCGACACGCGTGCCGTGGGCAAGCCAAAGACCGAGCGGGAGCACATCCAGTGCAAGATCAGCAACCCGAGCGGCAACACCACCGACAAGGTGATAACGCCCCTGGCCGATGGCACTTACCGCGTGAGCTACACGCCCGTCGAGGAGGGCCCCCACACCATCGACGTTCACTACGACGGCATAGCCGTGCCCAACTCGCCCTTCAACGTCGACGTCAAGCGCGTCAGCGACGCCAGCAAGTGTCGCGCTTTTGGTCCTGGACTCCAGAGAGGCGTCGTCAACAGGCCCAACAAGTTCACCGTTGAAACCAGAGGTGAGTCGTGCACTACAACTCGATTTGACGCGCCTGACGCTAATCGTGGGATACAATATATATATATGTATTTTTTTTTAGATGCTGGCTCGGGTGGACTCGGACTGGCTATCGAAGGTCCTAGCGAGGCTGTTGTCGCTTGCAAGGACAATTGCGACGGTACCTGCAGCGTCGAGTATCTGCCCACCGAGCCCGGTGACTACGACATCAGCATCAAGTTTGCCGACCAGCACATTCCCGGCTCGCCCTTCACGGTCATTGCCGACAAGCAGGTGAGCCTTACCTCCTGTGAGACCTCGCATCTTTCGAGCTCACTGAGAAAAATAGATGAGTAAGAAAAATACTTTTGCACCTTTCAGCAGGAGGATGTTAGCAACGCGTTCGCCTATGGACCGGGTGTGGAGCCCCGTGGGGTTCACGAGGGTGTGCTGGCCACCTTCACCGTCGACTCCAGCAAGGCGCCGAATGCGCCGATCGACGTCAAAGTTAAGACGGACCGCGGCACCATCGGCAAGCCCGAGATCAAGAGTATCGGCAACAACCTTTGGGGCGTCTCGTATATGCCCTCTCAAGCCGGCAGCACCGTCCAGGTGGACGTCAACTACGGCGGCAAGCCCATACAGAAGAGCCCCTTCAGAATCAAGGTCGAGGCGGGTGGTGCCGACGCCGACAAGGTCGTGCTCTCGGGCCCTGGTGTACAGCCGGTCACTACCGCCTCCTTCCCGGCCGATTTTGTCGTCGACACCTCCAAGGCTGGACACGGTGACCTAGACGTGCAAGTTCTGGTAAGTGAACGTAACAACACTAATTACTGTAATCGTGAAAATTGGATGATAATTATGGGTGTGATTTGTTATTGCAGGGTCCGGACCAAACGCCCCGCAAGGTCGACATCCGCAAGATCGCGGACGGCAAGCACAAGGTGACGTACCTGCCAGACGACTGCGGCCGGTACAAGGTGAGCGTCAAGTACGACGGCAAGGAGGTGCCCAACAGCCCGGTTAACGTGCAGAGCGTATCGACCGGTAAGGCCGACGCAGTAAAGATCAAAGAGGGCGTCCAGCGCACTCTCGCCCAGGGCGAGGAGTACTGCATTACCGTCGACACCGAAGACGCCGGCCGCGGCGCGGTCACCTGCCGCATCCGCTCTACCTCCGGAAGGTAAGCCGAGAAATCTTATCAACCATCGCTCACCGCAAGCTCTGCACTCGTGTCGTAGCCTATTTTTATTCACACGGCCAGGCTTTCGTACATCTTCGCTGATATATACCGGTCAATTTGTTACAACTACTGCGTAGTTTCGGGTTGAAAGCGCTAATAGGTATTATAGGAAGTTTTTTGAGGCGTAAGCCATGCAGTTTGAAAATACAAAGTCACAGGTAGCACAAAGTGGTTCTATGCTCGTTTTTTCACTGACGACAGTAATGGATGTTTTAACGAGGAGCCAGTCGGGAGGATTCAACATTTTCAGCAAAAATACACTATTTTCGATCAGTACACATAAATCTTGGTGCAAAAATTTCAACAATGCCGTATGCTTCGTACGAGACATCGTAACTAACGAGCGACCGTTTATTGAGCGTGACGACACTTTCATCACAATACTACAGTACACCAATTTTCTGCTAATTCCCGACAGACGCCAACGGCCATTTAAAGAAAACGGCAATAACTTACTTGTCACGTTTCAACACGGGTAAATATGTTTCGTTGAGCTCGCTGCGATGGCAAAAAAAAGAAAGAAAAACATCGATTATGAAACAGCTCGGTTTTTAAATAAATCGACGAGGGAGGGAAAAAAAAAAAAAAAAAAAAAACGTCGTTGACTGGCACGCGCGAGCACTGGACAGCCTAGAGGAATAGTCGTTTAAACCGTGTACGCACACTTACACGCGTTTATTTTAAACTTAGCGACGAAGCATGTAATATACGTATAAACTCGAACCCTATACCCTGCCATGACTATTATTACAACTATATGCGTATCACCGGGTAATGCATCACGCGTAAGTAGCACCCCCCAACCCCCCCAGTTCTGATGCAATTTAATCTCTTACGCGTGTGGGTATCAATCCCCGAGACACTCGACAACGTGTTCCAATTTGCATAATCAGTTTGATGCCCCGCACGTGTCGCAATGAAAAATCACTCGCCTCGCGATTAATCGGCCGATTCGCGAATGATGCGTATACAGCTAATCGTTAAAAAAAAAAAAAAAAATCCAAATTAATTGTCGCTCGAAATATTGTAATCTAATTTCGGACGGTGTATACGCATACGTGGGCGTGAAAAGGAAATAAATTCGCGCTTTACGAGCCGATGGGTAGGGGGGAGCAATCAAATCGGCGGGCCTGGAAAATATACAGTTCCGCGGAAAGCGATTCTCCATCATAGTATCTGCTTTTCTCGCGTGTTTTCGTTCCGAGAACTAAATATATGTACATCTTTGGACGAGCTTGGGCGCATCGATCGAAATCTTTTATAAAAGCACGTTATGACGTATGGATGCGTGAATTTTATTGTTTTTTTGTTTTTTTTCGTGCTTGCAGCGAGGACGTCGACGTCGACGTCGAGGAGAACACCGACGGCACCGTCGACATCTACTACAAGGTGGCCGACGAGGGCGACTACACCTTGAACCTCAAGTTTGGTGGACAACCCGTCCCGAACGGCCTCTACACGTTTACCGTGAGTACATCATACATCTCAATGTCCATGTATATGAACAGATTTAGTTTTTTAGAGTAAAAAAACAATGTTCTCCGTTTGCCTATTGTTCGCGGGAAACCCCGAGAGTGAGAAAAGAAAAAAAAAAAAAAAAAAAATGGAAGACACCGGCGAGCGGCGATCCCATCCGGTTTATTTAGCCAGCGCAGCATATCGCACACACCGACTCCCTCCCTACGATATTATACTCTAGATCGTCATCTCGCATCTCTCGGCACAAACTACTGTGCCGTTGCTGACGGTTTTCTCTCTTTCCCCGAAATATACATATACATCTCGGATGTCGTGGCGTGGGTGGGGGGTAGGGGCGCTCGCGGGTCTATGTATAGAGGCGCGTGAATGTGCCTACACGCGGCAGGACATTGTCGTGAGAGGCCTCCAGTGCGACACAGTTCAGTCCGAAGGCACATCTTCGTCGCGTCAAGCCCCACCCAGTGGGCCAGTGTCAATTTACCGATAACCCGAGCCGATCGGCAGTAGCAGCAGTTACCAGCTGGACCAGAGGTACCCGTCCACCCACCCAAAAGGTATACACGTAGCTTCGGGCACCTGCTCCTACTCTTCGCTGCGCTCTATACATAGGTATCATATGCGCTCTTATCTCGCAAGTAAGTGGTGGCGCGCGCGCCAGGCCCTACCTATACACGCGTCGCGTTAAATGGGGACGCCATCCCCTCGCGATGAGCCGCTCCCTCCCACTCCTCGAGGCTCCGATCTAAAATTTCCTCCTTCAATCTCATCGGATGAGCCATCCCTATATACCATATCCGCCATTCGGCTTAATGTTTGCTGCGCCATTACACCTGCATCATCGCCTACCTGTGCGTATAATATACAGATGCACGGGGACGATCGTTAGATCGCCAACGTAAATATAAATATCATTAATTTTCGATTCGCTCAAGTGGGTCACTCGATCGATTAGTTTTCAGTATTTATAGATCGCTGTCACAACACACTGCGCGTTACTCGAGGCTATATTTTTACCCAACAATCTCGATACGGATCTTTTGCGCACTTTTTTTTTTTCATGCAAATCGAAAAATCGGTTTTGGATACACCGAACCCTTGTTTACAGCTGCGAGCACTTTTTTGATTTTTTTTTTTTCACCTCCCTCGCCCGTTACTTTTATTTATAGTCGACGAGGAGACGAGGGAACTACGCGTACAGCGCTGCTCTCCCCGGAATGTTTAATTGATTGTTATTTTTGGCGAAATAATCAAGCGGCAGCCACCGCCGTGCATAGCATTATTGCCATCGTATACCGGGTGCACACAATATTATTCCGAGTATACTAACATCGTACCGGTCGCGAGTCGGTAAAAAGCATATAAATATGTATAGCTACGTGTAACGGCCGGGCTCGCGGTTATTAAACGGCTATTCGGGCGCTAGGGTCCATAGAGCGAGCAAGGAGGAGCGGAACGAGCGACGATGTGTATTATTTATAATTAGAAATAAAGAAAGCGGGAGTAGGCGCGCCGGATCTTAACCGATCGCGACAACTCGGGCCGTCGGGGAGATCGCGCGGTGGAGTATGCCCGGGCTCTTACCTCTCGGTACATCAGGGGGCATTGAAAAAAAAAAAAAAAAAAAAAAGAGAAGCAGAAAGGAATGAGCGATGAAAAAAAAAAAAAAAAAAAAAAAAAAAAAAGGGCCAGCAGAGTTAAGTGGAGGCCTTGTCGCGCGAGAGGTTGTTTTGAATCTCTCGCGGTCCAGCGGTAGCTGCGGGCGCGGACTATTTTGAGTGCTAGTCGCTTTCCCAAATTTATAAGTGCGCTCGCGCGCCTTTTCACCAAAGCCGCCGAGTAGAGTGGGTGGACGAGACCCGGCTATCTCTCTCTTCCTCCGGATTAATGACTTTGGTTAAATTAAACGTCGCACCTCGGTTCGCTAGGTACATACTCCCTCACGCCCCGCCCCCTCCTCATGGGGTTTCTTTTTCTTTTTTTCTTTTGCTCGATGGCCCATCGCGGGAATTAAAAGGGGCCGCAGCTCGGATTATGCGAGTACATACGTGTAAATATTTGGAGTCGCGCCTTTCGCGTGTTATTTGCGCCTCCGCTGCACCCCGTTGTGGAACGTGCATATTTTGCACCTACGAAGCTCTAATCCGCTCGCTGACACTTGTATATAAATCGCTCCCGCGCCGACCGAGAGTATACACTGCAGTTGGATATGCTATTTCTCTACTCTGTTGTGAATTTAGTTACGAGCTATATGTATATTATGTATGTTCATATATATATATATATATAACTCAATGTCGCTGCCGTACGTTGTTTGTTGCTGTTGAAAGCGAGAAATTTCGATCTATTACCGACTCTCGTTTTTCACGGAAGAGAAATATCGTTGAAATCCATCTGTTTTCATAGTCGGCAGTGCGCTGTTGGTGGGTGTTTTTGTCAAAGTGCGCCCTTTCAAAACAACCGATTCCAACCGAAAGCGAAGTTTTTCGGATTTCATTGAAAGGTCCCATGTTTTTGACACCGGAGTAACAAAAAAAAAAAAAAAAAAACAAATGAAAATCGGATCGTACCTACATCCATACGCTAATAAGAGCAAAAAAAATTCTCATTTTTCTTGTCCAACAACAACAACGACGTATGTATATGGGTATCGAAATCGAGCTTGAAAGTGTTTTCGAACAAGCGCGTGGCTGCACGCGTGTATTTCCGGTGCTGAAAATTCTTCAGTACCCGGGCGCCTTCGAAAAACAAAAATGAGCCGACAGAAATCGAGGCGTCGGTCCACCGCTCCTCGTTGAACGTAAAAAAAAAATCGCCGAGGGAAACGACCTGACGTTATACATGTGTACCTACTTCGCGAAGAGAGCAGTGATTCAGCAATTGTAGGGTACATACACCCACAAAATGTTGTAGTGGGTGCGCGTATCGCGGGCAAGACGTACGGGCGGAACAGCTGCGGGATGCGTCGCACGGATGGCTGATGTATACCTTCGAAAATAGAAGCGGACGTACAGGCATCCGAGATGCACGTACACATAGGTATATAATATATGCAATATAATGTGTCGCGCTTGTGCGGGTGGTGGCGCGGGCATGAACTTATCTGATCGACGCACGAAATTCGCTATACCCACCTGCCCCCGCCCTTCCACATGTCGTTTCTCGTGAGAAAAACAATCCGTAGCTTTGTGCAATAATCGATCGCGGGGTGCCTCCGTGACTGCTACTCGCGGAAGCGCGAAAGCCCGCGTCATCGAGCGCGCGGTGTCTCCTTGTTGCTCTCCGCCTCTACTATCGCGTAGCGCGAGTGGGTGGAGGGAATACGCGCACTTTGGTGTTGTGCCGTCCGCAAAGCGTCATAGACGGCAATTCGCATTGTCCCACCCGCCGTTGTTCCTCCTCCTCCTCACCCGGATCTCTCTCGCTTATTCGCCTCCCTTGTGGCGATCGTAGGCGCGTTGAAGTTTATACTTACCGTTGACGCCACTACTACCGTCCTGCCACCGTCGTCGTCGTCGTCGTCGACGCGATCGTGTACGATATTCCTACCCGTTTCTCAAGTTCATGTTTAACTGAGGGTAAGTTGTTGTTGTTGTTGTTGTTGTTGTTATTTTCTTTCTTTGTCTCTTGATTTATTTATTTTTTTTTTGTTCTTCTCCGATTAATTGTTTCGATTCTGACCGAAAGAGGATAGTGACGCCGTATACGGGTAGATTATACACTGGCAAGTAATGTGCGGACATGTAAAAGTTGTTGCTACCGCGAGAGTAGAACAGTGCGCCACGTAAGTTCGGATTCAAATATTGGGGTGTATAACGGGAGGCGATGCTGCGGCGGATGAGTGTTTGTGGCGAGTGTCGCGCGTCGAAATACTTGAGTGAGTTTACCGGTAAAACGGGAAAAATAAAAAGAGATAAGCAGTAAACCTTGCCTGCTTACTCCCTGAGGCTGCACACCGAGGTAACCGAGAGGGTAGGTATATGTGCTTGCTCATACACGGGCCATCGAGAGCGTGACACGGCGGCACAGGTGCCGGAGCCACGGATTTTGTGTATACATGTGTGTGTAATGCTGCTTTTGCCACCACATACCTGTGTTGTAGTAAATACGCAAGGTATACGGTATACTTTGTACGTGCAGGTCCAGGATTTCTCTCTCTCTCTCTCTATTTCTCTGTCGCGCGTTACGTAACGCTGGCAGCCGACCAGTGCGTAGATCACGAGCGTGTAATACTCCAATTAAACGAGGTGTCGCGCCCTATGATTTCCCGTCACGCTCGTTTTTCTCCCACAACACATGCAAACCGTTACGTTGGAGTTGCTGGAAACATCTTCATGGGAACGATGTCGCTCTCCAGCATCGCATACGGGGGAGTCATATTTTTTTTTTTTTTTTTTCTTACATTACTAGAACCTGTCGATAAGCATACCATTTATAATTTCTCGGAGCGCCGCTATTGTGCTAGAAAATGAGGCAAGTGCCAGCTCGTCGTTCCCTTGTTTCGGCACAAGAAAATAGATTTACGATAAAACCTGCCCGCGTAAATATAAACCAGCATAAAGGAGGTCTTAATTAACGGGAATTAGATATTTCTAGTTTTTAGCACAAATTGTTTCATCACGCTGACGACGACGACGACGACGACGAAAAGTCGAGAAATAGTGTGTGTGTGTATGTGTATATATATGTTGTGCCTGTGTGTGCGTGTGTGCATGCACATATTATAAACTGGGATGAAATGCGTCGCGTGGGAGTTTCGCGAATATCGAAACTCCGTTTTTCGGGAGGAAAAATATTTTATTTTTTCGGAAGAGTCGAAATGGGAGATGAAAAATTTGTTGATATTCGATGTGTGGGTTTCGCAATTGATTAACGGGTAAAACTCCTCGTTTCAGGCTTCGGAGGAGTACAGAGAGACAACGACGACTCATAAAACTCGGCGGGGCAGAACTACCAAGGAGAAGCGCATAATCGAGCAGACGAGCACCAGCTCGACTTACACGACAAAGACTCGGAGCACCAGCAGTAGCACCACCACCAAGCAACAGGAGTCTAAAACCAACAAGTACAACCTCATCCGCCTCAACGGAATACCCGTGCCTTCAATCGCTGGTGGGAAATTTTCATGTGAGTACACCCACACGGGCTTGTTTTTCAATTTCACCGACAACTTTTTCTTTCGGCCGCTCAATTATTTTCGTCCGCTTTTTCAAATAACCTCGGGTAAATGAGGCGCGCACCCGGAATTACATTTTTTCAAAATATGGTCTACGGTGCGTTAATCTGTACCACACGTAGTTACATTGCGTTGTACCCCTCTCCCCATCGAAAAACAGTTTTTTTTTTTCATTGTCTACACAGGGACTCACGAGCATATACACACATACACGTGAATTTATGAAACTATGCCAACAATTATAAGAATTAGAACCTTACTTAATCCTCAACTGCTAAATATGATCGCGTAATTTATGGCCCGAGAGATTTCAAAAATAATTCTCGGACTTATATTTATACCGTCCAAAAAATACTGTTCGTAATTGATGAGAGAGTCTCGAAAACTTTTCGGGAATTCCTGCCATAACGCACCGCAGAGGTGATATAAATTTGTAAAATTTGTTTTGCCCTTACCTTGATACTCGTTAAAATAATTTCAAGCCGCGATGTTGCTAGCCGGATCCATTACAACTGGGAATTTCGACCAACCCGATGTGCCCATTTACCGAGACAGCCCGCTTAAATGATCCACAAGTTAAAATAAATATGTGTGGGTCGGTAGTTACATCGATGCCCATTTTTCAATGGAAAATTCTTCCATAAGTATCATTTTTTTGTATTCATAGATGGTTTAATGATTTGCTTTTATTCTATATGTGTATACCTATACGATTAGTGATGATTAATTTTCTGAGCAATATTTAGAGACGTGAGCATAACTTTCATAGAGCCCAAAAATATTTTTAACAATAAATACAGGCATCGAATGTGTAGTTGACAAATTTTAAGTTCATTGCCCGGAATATAATTTGACGGAGGCATCCATAAAATTTTCTTAACAATTCATCGAAAAACTCGTTTTTATTGTTTCTAATAATTTCCACTAAATTCTGCTTCTAGATGTTATGGCTAATTAAAAAAAAAAAAAAAAAAAACATAAATTCGTTAGTAATCGATGTAATTGCTTTGAGGGTGAAATGTAACACATTGAGATATTTAGTAACAATTTTATTTCACACAAAAATTGTTTATCGATATCTAATGGTTTTCTAAATGTTTTCTGACCTTTTTTTTTATTCCAAATTGACATACGTGCAGTAGAGTCCAGAAGGATCAATGTACAATTTCAGCCGTGCAATGAAAATTGTACAGCGTACAGCTGAAAAAATGTATACCTATACCATGCATGCAACATCTCTAATGAAAAAAAAAAAGAAAAAAAGAAAAAAAGAAAAAAAGAAAGTAAGATTCATAAGGAGTCGAGGTATCATCCGTTGAGACGATATGCCCCGATCCTCTTAGGCGTCGAGCCGTTAAAATGCTCTACAATAACACCACTCGAGTTACGATAACAAAGAGCGGACGGAGGGAGAAGAAGGGAGGAGGAGGAGGAGGAGAGAAAGAAATAGAGCAAAAACGCGTGCTGAAAGGCAGAGTGAGGGATCGGCGTTTTTCGAACACATGTACGCGTAATGTGCACCGCGAGGCCAGCGCGCGGTGAATTAATTGCGAAGCGATTCTTGCATCGAGTCAATGAAAAGCAGCATTATACATGGGGTACCTATATCGCGGGTGGTAGTGCCGGGGGCTGTATGCCGCTATAAGCGCATAGCTAGGTAGCCCGTAAATCATGTAGGACGCGCTGCTGTACTGCTGTTCCTCTTTTTCGCCTCTGTTGCATTTGGCACGTGCAGCGTATACGCGTACGCGCGTGTATAGAGGGGGGGGGGGGCGTTGCTGCTACTTGACTGGCCGACCGGGACCTGCGAGATCGAGACGCGGAGCGACGATACGAACGAGCGAGATCCACTGCCCGGGAGGTGCATCCACACGCGTAGCGACGTATATTTCTGTCGGTCGTTTTATTGGCCTTTTATTCCTCATTATTATTATTTTGATGATGCTCGCAATATACACTGACTGGCACTTTCTGTCGGGGGTATATACCTATGTCGTATATCGTATTTTACACCGGCAATTTTTCGACGTTTAAGACATACATAGAGGGCTATAAATTCCAAATGTCCGCGTATTAATTTTACCCTTAAAATGAGTATTTTCGCGATTCTTTAACTTATACATAAAAAACGGTGTTTTCGCGTCGAAAACGCAATGCCAAATTGTGCGTCAAATGGACGAATTGCAATTTTTGATTTTTGGCTTTACTCCGGTTGAAAGGGCATCATCTGTACCGAGTAACAGCAGACAGAAATAATTGCCCTGTAAGTACAACCTATCAAAAAGTTGCGTGGACAGTAAAAAAATACTTTGGAAATTACAACTTTTACGACAAAATCAACGCCGTGGCTTACTTACAAAGAATCTTTTTTTTTTTTTTTTTCTCTGTCCAAGCGACATCAATACGAAAAGAGACACAATAATGAGAATCGTAAAATTAAAGGCAGAGTTGTAAAGGTGGCTTTGGTCGTCAAACTTTCGGTCCGCGTGTATCTACTTACGTTACGTATACGTTTATGCTCCACGTCATTATTTACAACTGAGTACCACTTTCGTCGTTTTTAGATTTACCTCTCGGCCCTCTCGCGATCCTTAAAACTTCAAAGCAATTTTTTTACATCCAACGACTCGTCGTTCACAAAATATTTTCGAATAAAGTTATAAAATTAGGATTATGACGAAAGTTTATTTGATCCTCCGAGGGTTATAGGCCAATCATAGTCAACACATGAATGTACAATCATAAACTAAATGGCGGTAGGTATTACGCTATGCATAAGTTGTCGGCTGCCTGACCAATACTTGGAGTGTTACTACTTATTTGTCATTCAGTAGTACGAGTACCCGTCACACTGTACATGTACAAATGATGTCTTTCCTCAATTCCAATTATCTATTGAACTGATTTTCTCGTCCCAATAACCCATGGTACATCTATATCATCCAGCGAGTAGCGTTTGCTTCGCACCGATTGGACAGGCGCCCATCACATATAGTTTTCACATGCACCGCACAGCGAGCACAGCCATATGCTCTGCGACGAAATACAAATTATATGCGTGTGGGTGCGTGTATAGGTACATTCAATCATTTCCAGCCCCCCTTTCCCCACCAGCATCTCTTGCGCGTGTACGCAGTGCTGCAATAAAATATACGTCAACGCGTTTGCGAGGGATTGAATACGCGTGCGCGATCTTTCCGCGGACGAGGCGACAACCTGACACTCGGATACATATACTACAACTACCAGCTACTGCTAATAAACATAAGCCGACTGGTGTATGTATAATTTGCCGCCGTCGCCGCTCAAAATCTTGGGCACACGAGCCTACACGCGCTCTCGCGGCCCCTCTCGCGGACTGGAACGAGGGAAAAGGAAGGAAAAAAAAAAAAAAGATAGAACGCGAAAGAAAAGAAAAACGAATCCGAGGGAGCGCGCCCGTCTCGATCCGAGCGGGCCGGTTTTCGCTCCTCAGTCCGTCCGTAGGTGCGCCCACGAATGGTATCACCACCGCCACCACCACCATCATCCCCCCCGGTTGTGACACCACAAACATCGCCGCGCGTGTTACCCAAACCACCCCCTACTTTCAGTGTTCCATCGCCACGAGCCATGTGACCTATACGTCAGCCAACACCAGCTCGGAAACTACTACATACATAGCCAATATACAGTTGTTACGTAACATGTCCGTCGATTTCACCGGAACTCCGCCGATGGTGACCGTCACCGAGCACGGGACCTCCGAGTGATCGGTACAGAGCCGCTCTTGTCCGTCAATTACGTAATTGCAAATCCTGCGCGACTCGACTGATATCGCATAACGATAACAACGAGGGGGTGACAAAGAGAGATGTCGCACCCAGTGGTCACCGACGACGAGAGGGCCTGGCAGGAGGTGTCGACTTTTTACAAGGGCCTCCTCAAGGCGGTTACCTACAGCCAACTCGACAGGCCGCAACGGGGCCCGATTTGCTTCACGCTGACCTCCTTTCAAGAGGAGCCCGCCGAGGGGGAGGGCCAGGACGCCGATCGCGCGATCAACCTCACTTCCGTCACGGGCCTTGAATTCGTTCCCCTGAATTTCCTCAGTATCTTCCACGTGCAGACCCGACAAGGTCCGACCACTTGCTTCGTTTTTTTTTTTTTTTTTTTCATACCAAATATCGAGTGGTGATTTTCACGCGGGGGCCGGTTGTGTAACGCATTCTTCTTCTTCCCGTCTGGCGCAAATTGTGCGTGTGTGTATAATACCACCGGAGAAAGAGACAATAACGAAGAGCCAATTTTCACATACCGCGATAATTAACTTTGCCCCTTTGAATCTAATTAACCGACGTGAGCGCGCGTTTCTTTGATGTCGCGGCTTACTTTTCGTTTATTCGCGTACAATCGGAGCGCCGTGGAAATTCTTTTGAACGCCCCCTCCCACTGCATTATACTCGTTTGCGAAGCTATTTTGGTTATTAATTGTTAATTCCACGTCGATTCGATGACGCGATTTTTTTTTTTAAATGTTACTCGCTTTGCGGTAAAAAAAAAAAAAAGTACCGGTTTAGCGGAAAATCCGACGTAACGTTGATCTCGTCAAGATTTTTTCCTCGTTTCTTCACCTTACGTATGTTTAATCGCAAAATCGCTGTCGGTGGGTTGCGAAATCGAAAGCTCGCCGGAGAGTATTTTTTGGCGATCGTTCAAAAATGCCGGGAAACCGAACTCGGGGCGTGCAGTCGTGCGACGAAACCATGGCTCATCCTCTCTCTCTCCCTTGCCTGATCCTTTTTATGGAGTAACCGATGGCTTCTCCCTCCCGTTATCCACGAGAATAGCGCGCTCGTAAAAAATCTCCAGCGTCGGGTGTACCTACTCGGGCGCGCAGCCTCGTTAAAGCCGTATATGAGTAGCCTCCGCGTCGTAAATCGTGGCCCCGATCTCCCGAAAAAAAAAAAAAAAAAAAATTGCCAGAAGCTCTGCTTCGTTTATATTCTCTTTCTTTTTTTCCCCCAAGCTAAGCGATTTTTCTTAAATTTTGACGATTTTTTGTTTTTTACTTTGTAAATAATGCCGATTTGCTCGCTCCAGCCGAAGTAAAAATGCCCAGCGGAAACATCGACAAGCCGATTATCGAGGACAACCACGATGGCACGGTTTCCATCAAGTACGAGCCGAGGGAGGAAGGACTTCACGAAGTCTACGTCAAGTTCAACGGCGAGCACGTCCAAGGTACGGTATTTTCTTTCTCCATTGGAACAGGTATTATATGTATACAGTTGTGCAGGGCAGGCATTTTGTACGGGCTGGTACTAATGACTTGAACGTCCGGGTAGCGATGTTTCTATTTTGCAAGAGTTTATATAAGTTGGCTTACACGCACGGGGTGCAATATATAGTCACGTTTGCAAGAGGCGCGGCCTCGCGTTGGCACGAACCAACCGCGGCTCGGGTACCGATTTTCGCTGCGTGGCTTCAATGGAAACATCGATCCGGGTGGTTGAAAAAAAAAAAAAAAAAAAAAAAAAGTTTCAAAATGAAATCGCACCGCACAGGATCCACGTTTAAGTTCCACGTGGATTCGCTGGCGAGCGGCTACGTGACGGCTTACGGCGCGGGCCTGATATACGGGGTGTGCGGCGAGCCGGCCAACTTTACGATCTCGACGAAGGGCGCGGGCGCGGGCGGTCTGTCGCTCGCGGTCGAGGGCCCGAGCAAGGCCGAGATCTCCTGCCACGACAACAAGGACGGCACCGTCTCGGTCTCGTACCTGCCCACCGCCCCCGGCGAGTACAAGGTTTCCGTCAAGTTTGGCGACAAGCACATCAGGGGCAGCCCCTACCTAGCCAAGATAACCGGTGAGTCCGAGCGTTTTGCTCCCTTTCACGCGTCTCCTTATCCGATATATTTTTTCTCGTTTTTTTTTTCTTTTTTTTTTTTTTCATACCTACACCATCATCCCTGTTTCGTAAACCCCCGTTGTTGTTATTAGGACTTTCTCGGGCTTACGAGAACATTCTAATCGCAATAATGATCTGATTTTTTTTGTCTCTCATTGTTTTTCGCAGCTACGCCAAAGTAGGAAAAGTTTATGCGACCGATACCATCGTAATAAAAAAAAAAAAGGTTGTATCGCTATACGCGCTAGTCAAATCAGCAACCGCAACGACAAACTATCTTGTTTGACTACAAACGATTTTTTTTGCTTCAGTTTACTTTTGCCAATCAATAATTTTTTTTTTTTTGTTGGACTTTACCTTACTCTGTAGAACATTGGTCACATTGTATTACATTATATTATACATTATTTAATATATGTTTACGTGTATAAGGGTGTATCATGTGCGATTAACTTGTCTCATGAATAAAGGATTGAAACATTTTTTTGAACGTATACACACCTGTTATTTACATTTATTTTGATGTATGTAATATCTATTTGATAAAAGGTAGGTTGCTCCTGTTGATTTAACTAGCACGCGCAGTTTAGAGAAAAAAGTGTTTACGTGATGAAGCTGTTTTTTTTTAATCAAACAATTAACCCACTTGACTCTAATAATTATTACCGCTGATATGTATAGTTATTTGGCTTTTATTAATCAACGCCAGCGAAGGACCGTTCACCCCTCTAAATGTATGTTTATTGAAAAACGCGTGCACGATTGGTGAAAATAATTTGATCGACGAGCTGTTGGGTGCACGGTGTTTCGCTACAGAACCGCCAGCGCTGATTTTTTCTTCTTTTTTTTTTCCTTTTTTTCTTCTGATCTGATTTGTTACGTATTATTGTTATTATATACGTATACACCTATATGTGAATGTACATGCAAAATAAGTGTTACATACGGACACGCTCGATGGCGACTCGAGACTTATATATACCGAGTCGCGTCGACGGTCCGAAAGGGCAGCGATTAATCTCGAACGAGTGCGTGTGTAGGGGAGGGCCGGAAGCGCAACCAGATCTCGGTAGGCTCGTCCTCCGAGGTGCAACTGCCCGGCAAGGTGAGCCTCAGCGACGCGGACATCCGTTCGCTGAACGCCTCGATAACGGCGCCGAGCGGCCTCGAGGAGCCGTGCTTCCTCAAGAAGATGCCCAGCGGCAACATCTGCGTGTCTTTCACGCCCCGCGAGTCCGGCACCCACGAGGTCTCGGTCAAGCGCATGGGCAAGCACATCGTCAACTCGCCCTTCAAGATCGACGTCAAGGACCGTGAGGTCGGCGACGCCAAGAAGGTCAAGGTCTCGGGGGCGGCCCTCCACGAGGGCAAGACCCAATGCGACAACACCTTCTCCGTGGACACGCGCAACGCCGGCTACGGCGGCCTCTCCCTCTCGATAGAGGGCCCGAGCAAGGCCGAGATCCAGTGCAAGGACAACGACGACGGCACCCTCAGCATCTCGTACAAGCCCACCGAGCCCGGCTACTACATCATGAACGTCAAGTTTGCCGACCACCACGTCGAGGGCTCGCCCTTCACGGTCAAGGTCATGGGCGACGGCAGCAACCGCCAGCGCGAGAAGATACAGCGCCGACGCGAGGCCGGTACGTTACTGTTGTCCTTTCGACACGCTGCACCTAATGCGCTTCATTTGCCAGATGGTGAGCTAAACAATGTTGTCCCTTTCCGATGTAGTACCCATCACGGAGGTTGGGAGCCAGTGCAAACTGACCTTTAAGATGCCGGGCATCACGTCGTTCGACCTGACGGCGGCGGTCATGTCGCCGGGAGGCGTCACCGAGGACGCCGAGGTCAAGGAAGTCGAGGACGGGCTGTACGCCGTCGCCTTCATACCCAAGGTAAATCAGCTTGTTTTATTGGCCATCGCTCGCGACAACGTTTACCGCAGAGAAATATGAGTAATTGATTTCGACGGGGACCTCCTCGTCACTGGACGCGTCGGCGTAAATTACTCGACTCCTCCTCCTCCTCATTGTCCCGTGGAGTCTCTTTTGTGGTTACATTCGTTTATCATATTTCTTGGCACGAATGACTGCCAAGGTAACACGAGGCGCGGCGCGCGAGAAAAGACAATGGGAGTGAGAGAGAGAGACAGGGTGTTGTCGGGAACAAGGGGTAGCACTTCGATGCCTCTTGCGACTCTTGGCACGAGCTCAACTCTTTGAAAAATTACCCGAAGAGCCGAGACTTGTCTGATAACATTTTTTTTTTTTTTCTTTCTCCCCCGATCCAATCTCAATTGGAAAAACAGGAGCTTGGAGTCCACACGGTGTCGGTCCGCTACAAGGAGATACACATCCCAGGCTCGCCGTTCCAGTTCACGGTGGGACCCCTGAAGGACGGTGGGGCCCACAGGGTCCACGCGGGTGGGCCTGGCCTGGAGCGAGGCGAGCAGGGCGAGCCCTGCGAGTTCAACATCTGGACGAGGGAGGCTGGCGCCGGCACGCTGGCCGTGTCGGTCGAGGGCCCGAGCAAGGCCCAGATCGACTTCACGGATCGCAAGGACGGCAGCTGCTACGTCAAATACATCGTCAGCGAGCCCGGTAAGCCATCATTTTTCGATTTCGCATTCCCGGGAGGCCTGGCTTTACAATTTTATGTTTACGAAATACCTACTACGTGGCTGGTCTTGCATTATTTTGGCCGACGATTCGTTTATTGGCTCGACTGTCGCGAGAGAGCGATGAAAAAATAAAAAAAAAAAAAAAGGG